TTTCTTTCATTAAATAGAGCCACATCATCATTGAATAATCATCAACAAAAATGACAAAATATCTATAYYCATTGTATGACATCACTTTATAAGGACCCCAAACATCTRAATGAACCAAAGAAAAAGGACTCGACACACGGTTATCAACCCTRGGACTAAAGGGAACACGATGATGTTTCCCCAACTGACACGACTCACAATCTAAAACAGAAAGTTGACTCAACGAAGGAACCAAAGGCTTCAAAACTTTCAACGAAGGATGACCAAATCGATAGTGCCACTGGAGAGGAGAGAGAGATGACTGGAGAGATGTTGATGTTCTTCCACCACCGTCAAGATAATACAATCCACCAACTTCATGCCCTGCACCAATCTTCATCCCCGTCTTGAGATCCTGAAAAACACATGAAGAAGGGTAAAAAGTAATAGAGCAATTGAGTGACTTGGTCAACTTACTAGCAGACATAAGGTTAAACAGAAATTTAGGGACATAGAAAACTGAGGATAAAGACAAGGGGGTCATGTTAACATTTCCAACACCACAAATGGAGGATGTGGCACCATTAGCAAGGGTAACAGATTGTGATGTTGAGCAATGAGAGAGGGAAGAAAACACACCTGGAGTTCCAGTCATGTGATCGGAGGCTCAAGAGTCAATAATCCAGGGATTGTGTGTGAATGCCAAACAAGCCATACCTGAGTGTGCAAAAGTAGCCGTGTTCTGTTGAGATGTGGATTGGACAAACCTCTCATACTCATCACGGGGAACACTCACCATCTCCTTCCCGGGAACATCTGTGGATGTAGGAGGCATCTGATCAGCTGAACGATTGAGTGCACAGAAAACAGAAATCTGGGCAGATCCAAGTTGCTTAGTTGTGCTCTGATACTATATTATGATTCGGCCTGCCCTTGAGTTCTGTTAGTCTGATAACAACCAAGAAGAGAGAAGAAGAAAGAAGAAAGAAAGGGAGAGAGAAAAGAGGAGAAAAGGAGAGAAGAAAAGTCTGGTTCGAATGAGAGAAAAAATTACCTCTCCCATTCGGCCAGACATGTTTTATATTACTAACATAATGGAAAAGACACATGTGCCTTTACTTAAGTGAGGGACACTAGTTCTAATATAATATTACAGATCAGCAACCTCAACATAAGCATAAAGACAGAAAACCCTACATACTCGACGCTAACAAAAATAAAAAAAACACAAAACAACTAAGTTTTGAGGGTGAAAAGAATTAAAGGAGGAAGGTTTACAAGAAATGGAAATTATAGAAATAAAGTGTTGGGGGGGGGTGAAGAGTTCGGAATGGAGGCGTTTAAAGTTTTGGAGAAGGGATGAGAGAAAGATAATCAGGTTCTTGAAGAGGAGGGTTTTAATTTAGGTGGAGGTGGCCCTAGAGAGAATGAGATCAGTTGGAGGCATTGTTGTATGTGGATAGAGAGGGTGGTGGTGCCATGGTGGGGTTGAGTTTAACACCTTTGAGAAAATGCAGTTTGGAGTTGGAGAGGATTAAGTATAGTTGTAAAGATTTGAAGGACTTTTAAGAAGATTCCTAATGTAGTAAGATGCTTCAGAAGACACAAAAACCATTGAGCAATTCAGGTGTCTAATATTTTTGCCAGGTTGAAAGGTGGCTTATATGGCATTGGGCTCAATAAAAAGATGAAAAAAATGTGAGAAAGATTTCAAGAGAAGTTGTGAGGCTCTTGCTCTAGCCTCTGAAGAAGCTGAGTAAGTGTAGTGTCAAGTGGTTTTGATGGAATCCAGAATTGTTCTATTGTGTGTGTGTGGTTGGTGTATTTAGTCTTTCTCTTGGTTTGGTGAGTTTGTGTTTTGGAGGGATTTGATTGGTTTGAACTGTGATGGGTTGGTGTTAGTGAAATTTGAGTGTAGAGCTATTCTTTCTTCTCTAGGGTGATTTCTTGTCACCTTTCTTGTAACCTTCTTTTTCTTTGAATAACATTTTTTTTATTTTTTATTTTAGTCAAGAAAAAAGGCTTGGATCTCACCCCCTCCCAATGTAATCAAGATGAATTTTGATGTATGCAGTCTTGGTACTCTAGGAGAATTGTTGGTGGTGTTTTTAGGAACTATGGACACGTCTTGGCAGTGTCCATACTCCATCGGGCATGACAACACTACAAGGGCCGAACTTTTGGCAGTTCAACATTGATTAATGCTAGCTAAAATCCTAAGTTCCAGAAATTTATTGGTGGAAGGTGATTCTCATGTGGTAATTTGATGGCTTGCAAAGAACAATGGGGCTCTTGACAACACATTATGAAATCCGAGATATTAGAAATATGGTCAGGGAGCTGGGAATTTCAAGTGTAAGATCAGCCATTAGTTTGGCTGATACACATGCAAGATAAGGAGTGGGTAGGAAAGGAAGGGTTCCCTGAACTGGTGCATTCTTTGTAAACCAGATGGTAGATCTTGTTACCACTCACTAGTTACTAAAATCCTATTCCTTTTCTGCAGATATTTGGGATTGACTTTTCTCTGTTAGGGTGTAAGTGGAACTTGCTAATGGAGATTAAATTGTTGTTTGATCCATCTACTGTTGTTTGATCCATCTACTTTTGTTTGGCCGAATAGAGCAGCAGTGATTTGGACATTATGGAAAGAAAGAAATGCTAGAATCTTCCAAGAGAAGGAAAAAGGCAGGCAACAAAACAAGGATTGTGTAATGACCAGGGTTATACATTGGCTATTAACTTTGGATTTATTTTGCCAATTGTCCCTTGATGATATATGGAGAAATTGGTATTCTGTGGCTCCTAGTTCAGTGTGGAAGGATGGGATATACATGATATGGATACCTTCTCTTGAAGGTTTTTTGAAATTAAATTTTGATGGAAGTAGCCAAGGTAACCTAGGCCCTTCTGAAATTGGAGGGTTCATAAGAGATAAGGAAGTGTAGTGGCACTCTACTCAGGGCCGGTGGAAATTGGGGACTATTATAAGGGCTGAACTATATGCTGTTTTACAAGGTGCTCAGATTACAAAAGAGTTGAACCTGGAGAATTTGGTGGTTGATGGGGATTCAAAGGTGGTAGTGAGTTGGCTGAAGGAACTGGGTTCAGTAATATGGTGTTATAGGGATAAAATGAAGAAGTTCAAATGGTTAACATGAAATATGAATCTGTTCACACAATGGGTGGGAGAGAGGCCAATGCATTAGCTGATTGTTTAGCTAAGTAGGGGCTACATAGGGATCAGTTGTACTGGGCTCAGTTGTAATTGTTTGATGTAGTTTTCTTTTAGGGTGAGGCAGCACCTCGTGCCTCTCCCTGGGATGCTTGTAGTGCTGTTTATCTATATTGATTTCAATGAATTTTTACTTATCAAAAAAGAAAAAAAGAAAGGAAAGGAGGGGTGGTGGCTGGTGCTGGCGCAATGATAGGGGAGCTTTGGCTTTCTTGTACATCATTTTTCACATTATAACTAATGAATCCTTGTACATCATAATTAGTAAATTCGACTGTTACTGATAAAAAAATTTACAGTTCCCACCAATAGGGGGTCTGGGGAGGGACAGATGTACGCAGCCTTACCCCTGTACATACAGAGAGGCTGTTTCCAAGATTTGAACCCTGGTCACCTAGGTTGCAATAGAGCAACCTAACCGCTGTGCCAAGGCCCACCCTCGAACCTGGTCAACATGAGTAACATTATTATATTATTTTCTATCAATTGAATATTGACTTTCAATTTGGTTATTTAGGTTTCTCTTGCACAAACATGTTCAAATGCTTCCCAAGGTCTACAAGAAAGGGCTGCAGGTGCTCTGTGGGGATTGTCAGTATCAGAGGCTAATAGGTATGCAGAGGCATTGTTTATGTTTTTTTTTTTTTTTTTTAAATTTTTTATTTATTATAGATTTGTAACTGAAGAGCTGGTTTTCTGTCTGCATTGGGATTAAGTTGTTTTGATTGGGATTAAGTTGTTTTAATTTTTTATTTATTATAGAGTTGTATCCAAAATGGTTAATGTTGACTACCTGATCCTTTTCTGTCATTCCACTCTATTTAAGGCCTAATCTTGAACCCTTTCTGTTGCAATTCCAGTCCTTGACCGAATCAAGCATCATGGTCACTGGCCTCCTAACTATTTGGGGTGCTAGATGCATCATATCCTTTGTCTGTGCATGTGTTAGTCCTTTCTCACCTTTTTTCGCCATGTCTTGCTTTTCTTGACCTTTCCCATTTAGCTTTCCACCTGCACTGGTATGTCCCAAGTTGGTGCTAATCACAGCCTTTGTTGTGCCTGAGCAGATCATATCTTCTAATGCTCCTATTATTTGATCACTTCTTGGAGCCACTGTGCATTTGCTCAGAATCTGTCAGTTACATTGCATATTAGATATGTTTAATAATGCATCATTTCATGTGGTTGAGGTTGGCATATTTTGTTAGGGTGAGTTAGATTCTTATTGGGTTCTTTGATTGAGGGTTCTTAGGGATGTTTTTGGAGCTATTTTACCAGGTTGATGCTCTTAGTCTTCCTTTAATCCTTGTATATCATTAATAGAATCATGAACATTAGGTGCCATGGAGTTCAAAATATGTTATTCCTTCTCAAAGCTGTTAGGGTGTTGCAAGATTAAACATGTCACGTATAATTGCACAAATACATTCAAGGTAATGACGTCGTCTTAATGAAATATGGTAATTTGAATCTTAAATTTCAGCCTTTTGCATCATTTTTGTTTAATTTTTTTGGTGTCAGACTCAATTGTATTGAGATGAAAGTACATACAGATTTGCAATCATTATACAGATGATAACTTTTGAGCAAAACAAAAACCTAGGGGGAATCACAAAATAGTCATCATGGCAAATAAGGAAGCTGTGAAGTGAACCAAATCATACAAGCAATCAAAATGGGGCATTACAAAATGGAAAATCCAGAGCCTAGAGGCCCTAGGCAAAGTCATTTAGCCTATTCTAAATGGAAACTCTTGGTTATTAGAGCTTCCTTGGGGAAAAGTCAAGATGCAAGTAATTGCGACAAGTGAAGTTGGACTCAGGCTGAGAATCACAAGCAAATTTGCAAGAGCATGAGATCTAGTGGATGATCTATGTTATCCGTTTCTGCATTGTTCTGGATTGTTGTTGAACACGGTATGTTCTAACGAAAGACGAGAGAGAACAAAATGTTGATTTTCTGCTAACCGAAGGCAGAAACTGGTAACAGAGTAGCACCATGGAACGGAGATTTGTGGTTGTCAGTTCAAAATCCTTTGAAATTAAACGAAGCCTCAATCAAAAAGATGATTTCGTATTAATGGAAAGGGGCAAGGGAGCTTGGACACAGATAATCCTGTCCCGAGAGGACATTCTATGGACTAGAGCCTACATCCAGGAGGCTCTGGAAATTGAAGGAAGACTTTTAGCAGATCATAAGAGAGTGTTCAAGGGAAGAATCCTATGTTTACAACTTAAATCAAATACCTGGGGCAGATTCATCTGTCTGAGCAGATGGGAAAAATCAGACAAGGTAAGACACATTTGCATCCTAGAAGAACTAGCTTTCGGTGGATGGAACTCTTTCATCCAATTTTTGGACTGGGCTTGTCCGCCTAGAGTGAAACTCCGCCATGTTAATCTCATGCAAGAAGCCTTTCCTTCGCTCGAAGTCAAAAGTAGAATCATAAAATCCGGAGTGTCTGCGTTTCTATCTATTGCACATCAGGGAAAGCCATTTGGAAACTAGAGATTGGCTTTTGTTTGTACGAAAACACTTGCGTTAAATTGGGATGAAGTTGAAGCTGGATTGTCTGCAAATTTGCATTCTGAGTCCCTGTTGAAACTGCGCCCTTTTGAACAAAATAAAGCAGTGGGCTTTGCCCCTTTAGAAGACCTGATTATTTCTTGGACCAAGCTCAAATCAATCTTTGTTTTTGGTGACTGGGTTCAAATTGAATGTTGGTGGCCAAAGATTAACGCAGTCCCTAATCAATTGAGATTCAACGGATGACTCGAGTTAAGAGGGCTACCATTCCACCTCTGGACAAAGGAAAAATTTTCTCTGATAGGAGACACCTGTGGAGGTCTTGAAGAAATAGATCCCTGATCCTTGAATCTTTTTGAGTTAAGTTTTGCCAGAATCAAAGTGAAAAACCGTGGTATTCATGCCCTCCCTCGATCAATCCCAGTTCTGGATAGAAACGTATGGTTCTACATCTCTATGGAGGTGGAGAAGATGAACGAGTCACCTTCTGGTCTCTCTGAGCCAACTCGCTCAAATGACTCATCTCCACGTGGCACTTCCACCTTTGTTGTTAAGAGATCTGGTTGTAATAGAGGCATGCACAGGGAAGGCGGAAAGTCGGTGGTGGTTCCCCGTGCTTCTGCGCAGGAGCACTCTTCCCTCCTCAAGTCAAAAGGCCTTGAGGAGCTCAAAAGACGCACCACCCCCCCACCCACAATACCAAAGGCCCACTTAAGTCTTCCGGTCCAACTAGCACCCCAAGCCCACCAGCAACCCCCACCTTCAGTCAGGCGGATCCCGAAACTCCTCCCAGCTCGGGCCGACACCTTAGTAAAGTTTTCAAGGCTCCAACTCCGTCTGTGAGTTCTGGCCTGCCATCCGTCAGTGAAGAAGAAGATACAGAGGATGACCTCAACTCATACGCTACTGAAGCAGATCCAGATCCTCGTGAGTTTGCTCTTGGACAAGTAAAAGACCTTTTCGCAGACAAAGGGAGTTGGGGTTGTGTGGAGATTCTCGAGCAGACCCAGTTGATCGATCTTGGCTATGGAATGTCTTCAGAATCATACGCCCCTGTTCGCAGACAAGGGAGAGATTCATCAACCTCCATTCTTGATCAAAACCATAAATCACTCTCAGGGAGATCCCCCGCCCCTCATTCGGTTCTGTCTTCTCTTCATTCTCCTCTTTCTTGCCCTGTTTCTGCACCTCACTGTCTTTTCTCCCCTTCCACTTTTTCAGGTTCAAATGAGTTGCCATCCCACCCAATTCAAACAGATGTTCCAATTCAAACAGATGTTCCATTAAGCATTGGCAGGAAGGAGACAGATAATTTGGGAATTGAGAGAGGAGACAAAGAAGATGAATAGGATAGAATCTTTAAAAAAGAGGAGACTAAATCTGGAAAGGCTCAGGAGAAGAACAGAAAAAAGGTCCTAAAAAAGAACTAAAAAGGCTTCAGTGGGGTCTAATGGATYGCATCTCAAAGGGAAATAGGATGAATAAGGGGAACTCAGTTAAAGTGATTCAATGAAGATACTAAGTTGGAATGTCAGGGGTTTGGGAGGTCAGCTCAAAAGAAGCTTAGTGAAAGAAACATTGAAGAGAGAAAATCCAGACATAATTGCCCTTCAGGAATAAAAAAAGAAGTCATTGACAGAAAACTTATGAAAGCCATATGGGGAATAAGGGGTAGAAAATGGACTGCTGTACCAGCTGAGGGTTCCGCTGGAGGTATCATCCTAGCATGGAAGGAAGATGAAATTTCAGGCTTGGAGATTGACAGAGGTGAGTTCTCAATCTCGGTTCTGTTCACTAATACCAAAGATGAGTTCAACTGGATCCTCACTGGTGTCTATGGTCCTAACTCTCCCTCTGATCGAGAGAGGTTTTGGGCTGAGCTGGAGTCCCTGCATTAGGAGGAGGACATACCATGGTGTTTAGTGGGTGATTTCAATGTCACCAGGTTCAGTTTGGAACATTCTAATGGTAGAATCCCAACCAGAAGGATGAGAAATTTCTCTAATTTTATTGACAGACAATCTGTGCGGTCTCCCTCTTACCAATGGACTATTCACCTGGTCAAACATGCAAGAAAATGCCATAAGCTGCAGACTTGACAAATTTCTGCTATCTCAGGATTGGTTGGAGAGATTCCCAAACCTGTATCAAGAACTTTGTCCAAGATGCACCTCAGACCACTGGCCCATATTGCCGAACACCAAAAGAATCATCAAAAGAAAGACCCCATTCAGATTGGAAAACTTCTGGCTACAACACAGACTTCAGTAAGAAGGTTGCAACATGGTGGGAAGACTGCAAAGTAGAGGGTTGGGCTGGGTTCAGACTTATTCAGAAATTAAAAGCTTTGAAGAAAAATCTTAAAGCTTGGGGGAGAGAAGAATTTAAAGCTGTTGAAGAAGAGAAAAAAAGAATTCTTTCAGAATTAGAGAACTTAGATAATAGAGAGCAAAATGGGACCCTTATGCCTTAAACAGAAATAAAAGAGCAGAATTAAGAAAGGAATGGGAACAACTAGTTAGAAGGGAAGAGATCTGTTGGGGACAAAGATCAAGAGTGAGATGGTTGAAAGAAGGAGACAATAATTCCAGATTTTTTCACACCTATGCCTCGGGAAGAAGTAGGAAGAACTTTATTCCTAAGATCAATCTTAATTAGAGAGAAGTGGAGAATCCTGAGGAAATTTCTGAAGCTTTCCTTTCCTTCTTTGAAAACCTCTACTCCAAGGATAGTGATAACCAGATTACATTATATAATTGGGATGGCACTACCCTATCAACTGAAAAGAGGGATTGGTTGGAAAGAAGCTTTGAAGAGGAAGAAGTCAAGAAGACTATTTTCAGCATGGACGGAGACAGGGCTCCAGGGCCGGACGGCTTCCCTATTCTTTTCTTCCAAAAGTGTTGGGAAATTGTAAAGTCAGATCTCATGCAGTTTTTCAGGGATTTCCGTTCATCTGCCATTGTTAATAAGGGCCTTAACTCTACCTTTCTCTGTCTCATCCCTAAGAAAGGGGGAGTTTTGGAAGTAAAAGACTTTAGACCTATAAGTTTGGTTGGGATCATATACAAAATTTTGGCGAAGGTTCTGGCCAACAGACTTAAAGAAGCCCTTGAAGATCTAATTTCCCCAAATCAGTTTGCTTTTGTAAAAGGAAGACAAATTGTGGACAACATTCTTATTGCAAATGAGTGTATGGAAGACAAAAAATCCTCTGGGATCCCGGGGGTCCTTGTGAAACGTGATCTAGAGAAGGTGTACGACAAAGTGGATTGGGACTGCATTCTTGATTGCTTAAGGCTAAGAGGTTTTGGGAGAAAATGGGTCAGGTGGATTAAAGGTTGTATTGGCATTCCTTGGTTTTGAATATTGATAAATGGTGAAGCGAAAGGTTATTTCAAGGCTAGTAGGGGTCCAAGACAAGGTTGCCCTCTTTCCCCATTACTTTTCACTTTGGTAATGGATATATTTAACTCTCTTTGACATCATTTCTTCTCAACTTGGTGACAGGATTTGAAGTGGGTAGGGATAAAATTCACATCTCTCACTTATAGTTTGCCGACGACATAATCCTATTTTTGGATGCCTCCACAACCAACATCACAAACACTAAACGGGTAATCGAATGTTTCGAGATTCTCACTGGTTTGAGAGTTAACTTTTGCAAAAGTAGTATTGTTGCTATTAACTCAGTGGAAGTGGAACTTCTAGAAAATTTCAAATCTTTGTTGGGATGCAAAGAGGAGAATCTCCCCATTACCTACCCTGGGATGCCCCTTGGAGGGAATCCAAAATCCCTCAATTTCTGGAGACTAGTGATGGAGAAATGCGAGAAGAGACTATTGACTTGGAAAAAGTGTTCTCTCTCAAAAGGGGGTAGGCTTACTCTCTTAAAGGCCTCCTTATCAAATCTGCCATTCTACTTTCTTTCTGTTTTCTAGATTCCAAGTAAAGTCAGAAATCAGATTGAGAAGCTTCAAAGGAACTTTCTTTGGGAAGGTGGTGGAGATAAGAGAAACCGTTTAGTCAGCTGGAAACAAGTATGCAGACTAAAGAGGAAGGCGGTTTGGGTATTGGACAGCTTAAAGAGAAAAATTCTTCTCTCCTAGGCAAATGGCCCTGGAGATTTCCGAAAGAACTCAATGCTCTTTGGACAGCTGTCATCTCAAGTAAATATGGACAAAATACTAACGGGTGGGATTGCAATCTCCATTTGAACAGGATAAAGGCCACAAATCCTTGGAAAGGTATATGTTCCATTTATACTTCTTTCTTTCCTTTTATAAGGTATAAAGTGGGAAATGGTTCCAAAATTAAATTCTGGAAAGATCTTTGGTGGGGGGAATCTACCCTGGAAACCTCTTTCCCTAGGCTGTTTAACCTTTCCCTTGACCAAGAAGCCTCTATTTCTTCTTGCCTCCCAAACCAGATCACCGAGAAATCTTTAATCCTCCACCTCAGAAGATCCCTAAGGGACTTGGAGATTTCTGATTTAATAGCCTTAATCCAAACCCTCAAAGATGCCTACATATCCCCCTCTCGTTCTGACACCCGAATATGGACCCTTCACCCAAATGGCGAATTCTCTTCTAAGTCTATGTTCAGGGCTTTGACTGCTGATGATCAGCATTCCTCTTTTCCTTACAAGAAAATCTGGTGTAGCCACATCCCCTCAAGAATTTGCTTCTTTGTTTGGGAAGCCTGTCTCCAGAAAGTTAATACTTGTGACCTCCTACAGAAAAAAACTCTTGGGAAGACGCTCCATATCTCCTCATGTTTGTAATTTATGTCTCAGCAAGGGTGAATCTGCAGATCACATTCTTCTTCACTGCAGTTTCACTCAAAGGATATGGTCCCACTTCTTGAATATGGCAGGTTATAGCTGGGCTTTTCCAAAACACATTATGGACATCTTGAATCAATGGCAAGGAACAAGGCTAAGCAATAGGGGTAAAGTCTTTTGGCAATCAGTGCTACATGCAGTGATGTGGGGTGTTTGGGATGAAAGAAACAACCACATCTTCGACAATAAAAGCAGAACCTTGGAGGAGTTGATCTCAGACGTTACCTCTCTTTGCATCGTTTGGACGGTGAATTCAGCTCTGTTCAAAGGACTTTCAGTCAATGATCTTATCAGAGATATTCACTCCTTTCTGTTTCTCTCTCATCCCCAGCAAACATCCTTGAGGCACCCCGTATCCATCAGTGAAGGAGTGATAACCCTTAATTTTGACAGTTGTGCCTTAGGTAATCCGGGCCTTGCAGGTATTGGTGGTACAGTTAGGGACAAAAGGAGCAATATTTGCTGGACTTTTAGTGGTCCAATCGGCTGGGCTGACTCTACAAAGGCTGAAATATTGGCTGCTCTCACCGGAATCAGGATAATAAAGAATTTGGGAATTCAGAATTTGATCATTGTAGGTGATTCAGCAAATACGATAAAATGGTTAAGAGACAAAGAGGGGGGCCCTTGGAGACTGTATCATTATCTGACTGAAGCTTGGGATTCTTTGGATGGTTTGAATGTTAATTTAGTTTGGATTCCTAGGGAACACAATCATACTCCAGATGGCCTTAATTTGGTGTGTATTTGGAGCATTTGTATAGCGACAAGCTTCCTCCTTTGTAACTTGTTGGGGTTCCCCCCTGCTTTGTATATCTCCCCTTGATCCCCCCCTTTTCTTCTTAATAAATTCTGGTTAAATTTTCTCAAAAAAATTAGAGCTTCCTTGGACTATCATTCTTGGAATGTCCCATGCAGCAACGGTATGTTGTCACATGCACTAATGAAGGGTAAAAACCACAGAAATCTTGAGATAGTACAGATATGGGGTCCACCACATGAGGGCATGGTCAACCTGAATATTGATTAATTCTCTGAGAATCCATGTCTCTCAAAAATTGGTGGTATATACAGATATGGTAATTACATAGTTATTTATCCTGTTCAGAGCTGGCAGGTCTTGGGATTCAGTGAGACTGAGCTTCTGTCTTTATTGCAAGGTCTCTGGTAATCATTAGTGAAAAAAAGTCTACCTGCATATCATCTGTCATGGGTTTAGAGAGACTCATAATTGGGGATAATCCTAGATGTTAATTAATCGGGTGAAAACATGGTCTTGGGTGCATGGTGGCTCTGCTATCAGTTAAGAGAGGTATGGTCTTTGGCAGCCAGATTGAACCTCTTGTTTAAATGGTTACAGAAATCAGCCAATTAAACTGCTGACAGCCTATCCTTGCGAGCTGTAACGACTGAGTTATGTTGGATTTTCTTTCATAATCTAGATTTTATTTATTTTTTCTTTTATGTTAGTCCTAGGGGCTTGTATGTGTTTATTTACACTTATTCTAAATGATTTTTTTTGGAAGATATTCTTAGTTGTTCAACTTATTATTTTCTATGATATTTGGCATGGTTGATCGTACTGTTTTACTCGTTAGGGAAGGGTTCATTTCCTATGTTCTGATGTTGTTCTTAGTGCATTTTTCCTTCTAATTAGCATTGCTATTGGACGAGAAGGAGGTGTTGCACCTCTTATAGCGCTGGCACGCTCAGATGCTGAAGTAAGTATTGAGCATTGATTGATAACCTACTTTCTATTTTACTTTTCTGTAAGGTTCCATTATTTGCAAGTAAGAGCAAAATGATTTGCACAGAACTGGAGTACAAGTCATTTTCCAGGAAATATACATTCTCTTTCAAGAAGTGTATTCACTTCCTACTTATTTACATGCAGCCAAACACATAGGATGTATTTTCCTAGTATGGTGGCTATCTTCTGGAAAATGACTATACTTCAACTTTATATTAATTATTTTCTGCTCATTTGTGTGTGAATAAACATAGTTTTAGAATCTCTTGATTTTCTGTATGGTAATGCCAATTGCAATGTGGATGTCAAGGATTTTTTCTTTTGTTTCATTTTTTCTGGAGTATGTGCATCATTGTTCTTTGAAATCCAAAGTCTATGTTCTGGCATGTGGCCATGTTTAATGATTTGCTCACATCAAGAGAAGCTGTGTTTCCTCTTTTTTGGCTTGAGATGAATGCTAATTATTTTATCACATGATTGGCAATGCAAAGGTAAATTTGTGGATTGGTCTAGTCTATATTGATTTTTTGGTTGTGCTAGAAGAGTTGGTTAAATGTGTCAAGTTGTTTCTTAGCTCAATATGTAAATGGAGAGTTGGTTATATATGTTAAATTATTGTTTATCAATTTAATTTGTAAAATGCATAGTTGATTCTGGCAACAACTATTCTAGCAACCAATAACAGCTTTACAGTGACAGGGTGATCGGCAATCGCTGATGTAAGTAGGCAAGAAAACCTAATATGATGTAGGTCAGTCCAATTTAAAGTTCTTGATCTAACTTTCGGATTATAGCAGCTAGGATTTGATTAATGAATCACAAACAAGTGAATATCAAAATAGGAGTAAGAGCAAACTAAGGATTTGAGCAAGGAAACTCTAACTGGAATTAGGGTGTAAGATTCAAGATAAGGGAGTTGAGGGATTTCACATCTACTCAAACAAGAATGATAGCCAGACCTTGAATAAGTTAGAGGGCATGCCACCACAACTGTGCTATGCCTTAAATTGGAGCTGAAAGGTGCCAAAGTTTACTTATAAAAAAAAAGGTGCCAAAATTTCAATACGATGCTAAAATGACGTGACTTGTCTTCCATTATAATGTCGACCCATATCTTTCATTCTTTTGTAGGCTAATAATAAACTGGATGGCCTCCTCCTAGGAGGCTTTATTGATTCTTGTGACTGCTGAAAACAGATTAGAAAGCACCTAGATTACTATTACAACTACGACTACCTGAGACTCTGATTACACTGAAAATTGATAAGAAAAAAATTAGAAGTACTCAAACAATTTTAGATTTCCATAAATGAAATCGAGTAAACTTGCACTGTTACTCGTTATCATCCTCTGTTAAATTATTAGTGCTTAAATCATTTCTTACTACTTGTACCCATGTCCTTTTTGGTCTACCCCTAGCACTTCTAGCCCCTTCAACTTGTAGTAAATCACTTCCAACTGGTGCTGTTGATGGTCTTCTATGCATGCGACTAAACCATCTTAGTCTACTGTCTCCCATTTTATCACCTATTGGGGCTACTCCTATGTTCCTACAGATGACTTTGTTTGTGATCCTATCCTTTCTAGTTTTTCTCCTCATCCATCTTAGCATTCATATTTCTGCCACATTTATTTTCTGGACATGTTGTTTCTTGACTGCCCAACACTCTGCTCCATACAACATAGCTGGCCTTACAACTGTTTTTTATAAATTTCCTACTTGAACTGTTACTCTGAAATGCTAAAGAACAAAAAAGGAATATACTCTGTGAGTGCTGAGCATATTTTTTTATCCATCATAAGAGGTGCTTAAATATGTGGAAATACTTTTTTTTCCTGTCTCTTCAGGAACTAACCCTTATGAGATCTTTTGATTGTGGCCATCTTTCTTTGGTGGCACCAAGGCCAAAATGTTTTGGAATGCATTCCTTTTGCTGTTTGTTAGGGGATTTAGAGAAAACGAAATAGATGGATTTTCATGGCAAGGAACCCTAGGTGGCTATCCTGATGTTGATTTTCTCTATCCTGAGTAGATTCTGGTTCTAGATTTTGAAGGTGTGGGCAAAAACCTATTTGGGAGTTTTTTTTTTTTTGTGGAATTCTATGGATCTTATGGTTAATGATCTATGGACACTTGTCTCTGTTATAGTACTTATTTGAGATTTTTTTCCCTTTTTGATGTTCTCTGGACTTTGTAATCTCTTCTTGTATATGTATCCGAAGTTCCAAACAAAAAACACAAAGAAAAGAAAAGAAAAAAAGGTTCAGCATAGTATTCAGGATATAAATTCTGCTATAGCTACAAGCCCATGTGCTATTCTGATTTTGGTTATAACTCTTGGATGACATCCAAAAAAATGTAACATTATTTAAATGCGGTGTTTTTTACGTGGCAAGAAAAATCACTTAACAGAGTGAAGAAAATGACTATTGTAGTGGTTATGCATTGGGTTTTAATAATCCAGGAGATTGTAACAGAACAAGTTCCTCGTAGTTGAACCTCCAACTGACTTAACATTGATTAGTGTCCCTTAGATAATCCAGGTCTGTCAGTTATCTGGGTCTAATGGGTACATTGGGCAGTATTGTCAATGTGGTGAGGTGATGACTTGTTGTTTTGGCTTCCCTAGTTGATGCAATAACTAGTCTAGGCCTAGGTGCTGACTGTTTTAACACAAAAAAGATAAAGTGCCATCCAGGGTCTTGGGAGGGTAGACTTGTTATGGACCTAGCCTTTGGCATTGTTTTTTGGGCTCTAAGTGGCTGCTCTCATACACAAATCTGTGTTCAGCCCCAGATTTTACTGTTGCACCAAGCAGTGGCCTGAAGGTGCTGACAACTCCAAAATAAAGATATATTCTAAATTTAATGCAATCTTGTATACAAGTTAATATATATTGCAAACATGCAATAAATGAATGAGGGGGGTCAAGGTTGTATTACAATTATATATATTGCAAACATGCAATACAGGTTAATATATATTGCAATCTTGTATACAATTAATGGAAGGCTGGATAGCCAAGCTAGGTAACTTTTTGTAAAGCAGGGTGGGTGGTCAAGGTTAGAGGGAACAGGTTTTTAGGGTCCCTTAGTATAGCATCTTGCTGTATTTTTATTCATATTAATACATTTATACTTTACCTTCTCTCTCTCTCTCTCAAAAAAAAAAGATAGGTAACCATAGTCTTTATTTATTTATTTATTTTTAAAAGATTGCCACCTTGACTATTTGATGTGACCCCTTTGTGTCAATATTGTAAAGGGGGGTTTCAATATTTTAGCTCTAAGGTTCAAAATATTCCCTCCTTCATGAAAGATATTATCAACTTATCTACTTGGCACCTTTGGACATGCTTGTTTCGCGTTCTCTCAGTATGTTATTTGGTTGTTTCATATAATAACTTTAATCTTGTTATCTACTTGTGCTTATGGTTTCAACATCACTTTGTGAATGTCTTAGAGATTGGAAGTGAATAAAATAATTCATGGATTTGTGTTTATATGTTTCTTGTGTTCAGACACCTAAATAATTGTCATTGCTTTACTTTTGTTATCTAAAAGGTCTTCATGTTGCCAGACAGGAGGCCTTTTGGATATTATGTAAATTAAATTTTGGGTGTTCATTCTTTTACAGGATGTCCATGAGACTGCCGCAGGGGCATTGTGGAATCTTGCTTTCAATCCAGGTAATGCTCTACGTATAGTTGAGGAAGGGGGAGTTCCAGCCCTTGTTAACCTTTGTTCATCATCAGCATCAAAAATGGCACGCTTCATGGCAGCACTGGCATTGGCTTATATGTTTGATGGAAGGTACATGATCATCTTGGTTATCATGCAAAAAATATTGAAATATCTTGCATCTGAATGCTTGGACAGAAGAATTTTTGGAGACATAAGAAAAGAAAGAAGTTATTTAAGAACCAGGTTTTGACAGTACCTCGTGTATATCATGGTTCATTTCTAAGACCACAAATCAACATGGTTTAATGGATCAGGCCTGCCATATCTCTTGACTTCTGTTTGGCTATAAGACCAGATATGGCAAAGAGACAACATAGATAACATGTTGGCACAAGAGTCTTACACAAGCATGCACCTGTTTATATGTTATTGGTTTTCTTTTTCTTTTTTCCTCGTTTTTTTTTTGGGGGGGGGGGTGTTATTACAATGTCAGGTGCTACTCTTCTGCATGTGTGCCATATTGTCAACATTCATCTTTGCGCATGTCTACATATGTCTTTGTTCTGGAGGCTGTCCCAACTCAAAATGCTAGGTTTCCCATGGATATATTCTTTACAAATATGAGAACTATTTGACATGACAACAATCAACACCATACAGTAGAAAGATTTCATACCTGTCATCCTGTCTAGGTATGGATAGAGCAAATTTTCGTCACAAATAGGTGCCTAAGAGAAACAAATTGAGTAAAATTAGAAACCATTGTTAGGCTGATTGTTAGGGGTGATCAATATGCCAAGAGGTTACAGCATCTATGGCTTATGCCTGTTGGATACGAGGTTCAGTTAATGTCATGTTTCATTATGCTGGAATATTTCGTATAGTGACTAATTTTTATTGGTGAATTTTGCATTTGTAAAGTTTGTATTTATTTTATAAATTGGTATAATGGTCTTGATATTATATAAACCATGTTGATATTGTGTACAGAATGGATGAAGTTGCCTTGATAGGGTCATCATCTGAAGGTAGTTCAAAGAGTGTAAGTTTAGATGGTGCCAGAAGGATGGCCTTGAAGAATATTGAAACTTTTGTGCGTACATTTTCGGATCAACAAACCTTCTATGCTGCGGCTGCTTCATCAGCACCTGCATCCTTGGCGCAAGTAGCTGAGGCAGCACGTATCCAAGAAGCAGGACATCTAAGATGCAGGTTTTTACTTTGTTGTATGTTTTTTCTCAGAATTTCAAGTCTTTGCCATGTTTGTGTTTCTTTCCTGCGTGTGACTTACCAACTATTGTAACTTTGACCTTGCTAAATTGTCATTTGCCAATTGCTATAATGTTGACTAATCATCAACTGGCTCATATTTTAGTCTCCGTCTCTTAAAGAGCCAATAGAAAAATTGAAGGTCATATTAGTCAATTCTATGTCAAGTTTTTCTTTCTTGCCTTTGATATTTCACCCTTATCTCTGCATTTTATGTCAGTCTTATGCAATTCTGTCCTTCCCCCCTTCCCTGCAGTGGTGCTGAGATTGGAAGGTTTGTTGCTATGCTTCGGAATTCTTCCTCTATCCTTAAAGCATGTGCTTCTTTTGCTCTTCTCCAGGTAAGCAAAGAATGACCTTCCAGGCAAGCTTGCATTAGATTAACTTCTCTGGAGTTATTTCATCACTACCTTTAGAAGTTGAAATAATACAATTTTGATGAGATGATCAAACTTTTCTGGCTTGAAAAATTAGTTTGTGAATGTACCAAAAAAATAATTTGTGCATGTTACCCTTTAATTGCAGTTTACCATCCCAGGTGGCCGACATGCAATGCACCATGCGTGCCTATTGCAGAAGGCCGGTGCAGCTCGGGTCCTTCGTGCTGCTGCTGCATCAGCAACAGCTCCCATTGAAGCGAAAATCTTTGCAAAGATTGTACTTCGAAATCTTGAACACCACCATGTGGAGGCTTCCATTTGAAGCATAACTGTACAGCAGAGAATGTTTCAATCTACACTCAGCAACGGAGGTCAATCTCTGCCTTGAATTCTCTTAGCATTCTTCTCCTAGCTATCCTATACAGTGCTATAGAATATTTTTACTCGTGTAACTACAATTCTCAAGCATTACCAAAGAAAAACTAGAATCGTCAAGAGCTGAAGCATGGCTTGCTCTCAGTTGGATTTCTCTCTAGACGGCAGTTGTGCTTGCTAGTGTAGGGGCTCTTTTGAATTAGGAAAGAGAGAAAGTTATTAGGTCTTTTCCTCTCTCTTTCTCTTTCTCTTTTCCTTTTTATTTATTTTTTAATTTTTTGTTTCATCAGTATTTATGGTGTGTTATGAATGTGGTTTTTTTTTTTTCTTTGTTTTTCTTTTTTATTGTACTGGGTACTGGGGGCACTAAAGGACCGGTATCTATCATTTTTGCATTTCTGTATTCTTTGCGAGAATTCGTCCTATTATAATTAAGTACAAGTAACTTGAGACCTAATATGTTTCATGTTCATTTTTCGCTTGACTGCTATTTCTGGCCTTATGGTGCAATGCCTCCACTAAAGACCAATAACGAATCCTGATATCTTGGGATTCATTGTTGGATCATGGATGACTGATTTCAAGTATGGTTAGGGGGGTGTAATGTCCAGGGAACCGATTGGGCGAGGGGACTAAGAGGAGTAGAGCAGAATAGGAGCAGAGGTCTGTGCAATAATGGGCGAAGGCTCACTCTTGATGGTGGCTCAAGGAGCAAATAATAATGTACAACAAAGTATGTTGATAAATCTAGTGAAATGGGGGCAGAATAAGACCCAGATTGGTGCTGAATTGGAATAGGGTGGCATCCACTATGAACAGGATGGTGAGGCCTTAATCTGAGGTTAGAGTGTATTGGCAAGTGATAAATTCAGGGGGTCAGCATAATGCAAATGTGTCTCCTATTCCCATATGAGCAAATGCCAAGGTCCAACCACGTGATCAACCATTTGGTTTGAAGGACAATATGGAAACCACTACAAAATTCTAGACATCCAGAAAGAAACTGTATTTGATTATGGCAAATTCATTTTTGTAAACCAAAGCCAGATGGGTAAGTGATGGAAATAACATGGGCCAAAATGGGAGAATTTTAAGATAACAAGGAATTGTGCTCTCTCTTTTATGATGTGGACCGATTCAGTATCGAGGTGATAACCCAAAATCTTTCTTCATAAGACCCGTATAGCCTGTGAAGATTTCTAACCTTAAATGTTATCCAATGTTTCCAAAATTCGATTTAGTTTTGGTTTGGTTGGAATCAACTAAAATCATTAGGGGAGATCATGAAAATCCGAACAAAAAATACACTTATTTGAATAGATTGGTATACATCATGTATATATATATGTATATTATATATTTTTCATATATATATATATATGCATTACATATTATATATATAAAAAATCCAAAAAACTAACGGACTGACAAATGGTTAACCAAATTGATCAACCGGTTAACCGATTGAGTTTGGTTCGATTTCGGTTTTGGATTTTCTAAAAACTGGTACTACCAGTTTGCTTAAAGAAAAGGAGAACACCCCTAAAAAGTGCTTCTATTTTAATTTTTATGAATTGATGTATTAGCTTTTTAGTATATGGGTTTTAAATATGTCAAAACATAAACAAATTCAGGTGAGTCAAGGATTAAAGTGTTGGTATTGAGTGTCATATCAGATTACTTGCATACGAATACAGATACACCTTGGAAACGCATGGATACAAATAAAAAAAAATATGGAGGCGCTTGGATACGCTAGGAAATGTATATAAATTCCACAAATATATTAATAACATTATATTTAAGGTCAAAATAACCATAATTGATGTATAGATATAAAGCAAAAGTATATTTTAATGGTATATGTGAGGAGATACATTACAATTACTATAGCGGGATACCTAGAAATCATATAATTTTGTTAATAATGTATCAATCAAGAGTTAGAACATTTAATATTTATTTTTGCAAATTAATACATGCACAAAAGCTATTATTATATTATTTTCTATTGAATTTGAAGGCACAAAACATATGCAACTATTATATGTGAAATATTATATCAATTATTTCCTATTTTACTATTTTTAGTTTTTAACATTTACAAAAAGTCAAGTAAAATTAAATTTCAAATTTTTTGTAAACAATATTTTTATTTTTATAGACAATAAACATGTTATTATAAAATTAATTAAAATTTCAATTAATAATTTATTAAAATATATCAAATATATTAAAATTTATACGATACATATCATATGAAAATTTATAGTTTTTAATTACTAAACTAATTATTCTATTATTAGTATTTCTATTTATATAAATTTTATGAAATAAAAAATCTTTTTAATGTAAATTAAAATATTAATTAATAATTTATAAAATTTTAAGATAAATATCATGTTCAAATTTACAAATTTTAAGTAGTAAAATAATTATTCTATTACTAATATTTTTATTTATATAAATTTATTGACATTAAAACAACTTTTTGATATAAATGTGGATACGAGAAATCATTTATTCTATTATTTTATTAAATAATAATTTTGAATAATATTTTTCATCTTTAGTTGATGTTGATGTTAAACATAAGTATAATTTATTTTGTTGGGATAACATTTAGATGCTTGAATGGATAAAGGTTATTTTATTTCATTAATTATCACAAGATCAAATGTGGCCCAGTGGCTGAAGATTGTATATAAAGTTTGCATAATGAGTGATTTGGGTTTGAATCATTCCGATACGTTGAACCGCGGAAATTGTAACCTGTATATCCTGTATATCTTGACCGATACCCCGATACCGATACAATACGCCTCATCGTTTCAATATTTAAAAAATCTCTTCTTCTTTTGTTATTATTTTAGTCTCTTTTAGGGAGTTGTAGTGTTTAAGGGCCATATTCTTCAGTGATACAGATCCATCCTGATCCTATATCGGCAATTGGGCATGGATGGACTTAGATTCCGATCTAACGGTAAAGATACACATGTTCCTTGGACCAATTTCCAAAATCCTGTGCAACACGTTGCAACGTCACGTCCATTCTCCCAACCTGCATCATTTATTTATTATCACACCAGGCCAACTAACTGCAGGGGCACGAACGGATAAAGTCTTACCTTTTATTATTATTATTATTATTATTATTATTATTATTATTATTTTAATGGAATGAAAATAAATAGATACGAGACTTTCTCTCCTGGCCAGTGGCCACCGGGACAGATTCGAGACTTGAGGGCCAGACAGAGAAAATACAGGATCAGGTTGAGGTTGATACCACTACTACTACTACCGACCTTCTACCTTCTTCTTTTGCTACATCTCCTTCACATTCACAATTCACAAATTCATACACGCTTTTGCCTTTCCATACTCCTTTTGGTTCTTTGATTTCGGGTCCCAAGCACTCTGGCACCTTTCTCTTTCTTTGAGTTTTTCTTTTTTTTTTGTTTATTTATTTTTTTTTTGGGGGTGGGGGGTTGGACGTGGAAACTGGAAACGAATCGATCTCTGGTCTGCTTAATTTCTCTTCCCGTTATATTCTTGTTCGAATTCTTCTTCTTCTGTCTGCTTTCGTTGTTTTTGTTCCCCCTCGAGTCAGAGTTCAGATATGGGGAAGAGTACGGATTTGGACATGGAAGAGAATGGTGTTTGTTCGAAGCCGGTTACTGGCGGTCGAGATGTTTGGAGTTCCAAGGATGCTGCTTCTTCAGCTGATCATCTTGTTATCATGGTCAATGGAATTCTTGGAAGGTGAAGCCTTTTTTGGTCATATATTCAACTGATTGTGTCTTTTTTGTGAAGTTTTTTTTATTAATTTTTTTTTTTTTTGGGAGGGGAATTTGGATATTGTGAACTGTTTTCTTGGCGTGTTAGGTTTTGGGATTTGTATTGGTATTAATTTCGAAAGGAGGGTAAACGTTTTTTTTTTTTTTTATCTTTAGCCTGCACTTGGACTCCTTTACTGTACACGTTTTTGACTGAAAGCAATAGAGTTTCCCCTTTTTGCATTACGACCAAGAGAGTGAGTTCCGGCCACTTTTGTTTTGACTTCACCTATGGTTCTATGTTCGTGCGGTTTCGTCATTTGTTCTGCTCTAGATTTAGATACCGAGTCGTCTTCGGTTGTACATTTTCTACTTCTGTCAAGTGTTTATTTTTGGGGAAATTTTGCTTTTTTCCATGCAGTTCGACCGACTGGAAGTTTGCAGCTGAGCAGTTTGTTAAAATGCTCCCTGACAAAGTCATTGTTCATTGTAAGTTTGTATGTTTTAATTTCATTCATTTTTTGTTTGAAGTTCCATGTTTTCAGTACTGAGGATTGATCTACTTCTGTGATTGGATTTCTTTGAATGCCATTCATCAAGATTACAGATTATGCTACCGTTGAAAGGAAAAAAAAATCACTCTTTTTATCGCTCTCAGTTTGTTTTTCTTGCATTTTATCATCTTCGGTCCATTGTAGACTATTTTGATTTATATGTAGCACCAATATGTTCTTCTGATTCAAGAATAGCATGGGAGAAATCAATCAATGAACAGCCATCATAGGTCTCTGAAAGGATAAGAGGGCTTCAGAATTATTACAGGAAGGAAACATGTTTTCATCAAGAGGCTAAGCCCTTATGATGGTATTGAACTCTCTATGGAATTAAACAACCTCAGATAATATAATTAAGGATATTGAACTTCAGGTGAAAATATCCTTTTTCATCTGGGGACTCTAATCAAAACCTACTTGATTAATTAACATAGGAAGCTGAAGGAAGTCTTCATTCTTATAATGGACTCTAGTAGGGCCTATAAATACTTAATTCTGGATCTTCACTGGAACTGTTACTGCATTAGACTTGTACTGTTGCTTATCTATATTGATTTCAATGAAGCTCTTTTCTGAAACATAAATAAATGGACTCACAAGCTGGTAGGGGTTGCATCACCCTTTGGTGAACTAAAATAAAAAATTTTGCCTACCTCATTGGGGGATATCTACCTCTCCTAGAAGGCCTGATTCCCACTTCCCTATCAACTGAGGGATGGAATGTCTATCTTGTATGAATGCTAGGACAGGATTAGAGGATCTGCAACAGGGTTCTTTGGATACCCTAAAAGGAGACACCTTTGAAATCCTTGGCGTCCATCATCCATGATCTGGCAGGAAAGAGAATGATCCCCCCACCCCTGCCTCACCCCCAAAGGAAAGAGCCACAGGGTTATTTTTCTTATTTTTGGGTCTTTAATTATTAATCTCTTCTAAAGTCCTAAACACAACATGATGGATAGCCCTTTTTCAAAAAGAAATAATATCATGGACAATCCCTTGACTGCCCACATGCCTACTAGATTCACTTTTCTATTTTTTACACTGATCTATAGACCAAAATGAATCATTTGATCATTTTATATTTGAATAATAAGTTGCAGTCTAATCGGTTGAGCGATTATTAGTTTTCCCTACCTGGATCATTCTGTTGTGTTATGTTTTACCTTGCATTTGAGAATTTTTTGTATGGCAATGTCATCTCTCTTGGTGTTTCATTGGACAAACATTTGCTTCATCTTACTCTAAGACTTTCACATGTTATGTAGGTAGCGAAAGAAATGTATCTAAGCTGACATTAGATGGCATAGATATCATGGGTGAGAGATTAGCTGAGGAGGTTTGTTTTACTTCAAGATTATAGGTTACATTATGGTTATTGTCAGTTGTGGTTGACATTTTATTTATATGAAGTGTCTGTTTGCAATATTTGGTGATTTTGTTCATGCTGTTTTAATTTTAGTATCTGATACTACATGTAAACTCAGGTCATCGAAGTAACTAAACAAAACCCAGGTTTGCAGAAGATTTCTTTTGTTGCACATTCTCTTGGAGGGTTGGTAGCAAGATATGCTATTGGAAAATTGTATAGACCTTCTAAAAGAGAAAATACAGAAGTTGGATCTACTGATGCATGTGATGAAAATTCAAGAGGCACGATGTGTGGTCTGGAAGCAATGAATTTTATTACTGTTGCAACACCTCATCTTGGTTCAAGGGGTAACAAACAGGTGCTCTTTGTTGCTTAATGTTTATGCATGGGAGTAGAGTTATGAATTTGTTATAAACCTTTCTAATGCATGATGGATATTGTCGAAGCCTAGAAGGTGGAAAACACAAGATGGCTTACAAGGCGCCAAGGCGAGGCTAGGAGACAGGGGGGCGACAAGACCCCTCCTTTGAACTAGTGTTATGCATTTTTATTCTTCTTAATATAAAAGGTTTTTATTAAAATAAAGAAAAAATGAGATCCCCCCTTCCTCTTCATCCTCCTCCTAACCCCCGGGCTTACGCCTCCTTGTGTTCAGGAGGCTTACGCCTCTTGCGTTCTGAACTATGCCTTATGTCATGCCTCCGCGTTTTAAAACATTGATTTGGACTTTGGGGTTTTTTTATTGAAACTTCATTGATTATTAGCTGTTTGACGAAACTATCTTATTTTTGAGCTTTGGTAATTTTCTCTTTCTGCAGGTTCCATTTCTATTTGGAGTGACTGTCTTTGAAAAAGCTGCATGCCATGTTATTCATTGGATATTTGGCAAAACAGGCATACATCTATTTCTTACTGATTCTGAGGAAGGGAAGCCTCCATTGCTACGGCGCATGGTGGAGGATTGTGGTGATCTCTATTTCATGTAATTCTTACTTCTTTGCCTTTTGTAAATCGCTTTAGTGGATGGTAAGTTACTATAGGTTCTTTTTTCTCTATGAAAGTTGCATACATTATCATGGTGGCAGTTCTGATTAATGTAGGTCTGCCCTTCGGACATTCAAACGGCGTGTAGCATATTCAAATGTGGGCTATGATCGTATCCTGTTTGATCAGCACTATGACTCTTGGTTATGTAACCTTTGGGAAGATTCTGCTATTATTTTTTATTGATAGGAACTGCTATCATTGCCCTGTTTTCCATAACTAAATGGTATTAAGATATTGTGGGTTGGAGAACATCATCAATCAGACGTAACAGTGAACTTCCAAAGGTATCATTTTCAGCTTAAATTAATGCATCTACTGATTTAAGTCTAGTCTCAATGCCATAACTAACATTACTTCTTGGTTACTAGTGGGAGGATTCTCTAAGTGATAAATATCCACATATTGTATATGAAGAGTACTCCAAAGCAAATTATAGTGAGGGACCCATTTCAAAGGAGGAAGGTTCTGATATTCTAGAAGGTTAGTACCTTTGGTAATTAGTGAACAAAATCCAGAATCTGCAACCCTAACAATTTTTGTTGCTGTATAAGAATTTTCAATCAGTTTTTGGGGGATAGGCTATCTGTACACTCTCATTGGGATGCATGACACATTCTCTATGTAATTCGTTCTTTTGATAAATGTTACAGTTACTAATAAAAATAAGGAATATATGTTTGCTGTTGTTCCCTTTATGAGATGTCTGTTTTTCAAATTTCAGTTTTATTGTTGTCATGATTTTGTTTCCCTGCTTCATATGTATTTTTTAGCGATTTATTTTGTTGGAAAGATTTACCTAGGTTAGCATAGACGTCTATTCTTTTTCAGCTATTCAGCATCGCTATGGTTTTTAGTTTTCTTATATATTGTGGCTGTCACAGTAGATGTCAAGGCATAAGCACCTCAACAGTGACAGTCGTATGTATGACAAAATGTGAGGGATAAAGGAAATTCTTAATGCAAAAATTGAACCATGTTGTTCTAGCCGGTCAGCTTGTAGGCAAAGCTAGGGATTTTGATGTTGAAACTAATGAGGGTAAGTAAGCAGTCTTTGCAATCAGAACCATGAAGGCCTTGGCTTTTCCCAGGGAAATGGTTGGGGTGTATATTTATAACAAAAACAGATCAAGTGGTAATATTCTATTTAAATTCATTAACTTATTCAGTTGGTCTGTCTATCCATTGAGCTTGTATGGCACAACCAGGAGATGGAACTAATCATATGTTGAATGTGAGAGTGCTACCTCCATTTCATTTTAATACAACCTCATCATCTATTTTGGTCCTTCTCATGCTTCGAATTCAAGGCTGTTTTTGGTCTGATATAGATATAAAATCAGAGAGAAACCGAAAGTTGAATGAAAGTTCTTAAGGCTGTGTTTGGTTCCAGTGCAAATTTATTTGCACTAGTACAGCATGGGAGTGCAAATGAAAATAATGCAAATTCTAATTTAATTTTGTTTTGGATTTTACTTTGTTCCACTCCATGTCTTAATTTATTTCATTTGTACTGCAGTCAAACAAAGTAAACTAAAATTTGAAACAAAAATAGGTCAGAATTTACACTCAAATCATTTGCACTGCCATAGTTTTGCAGCAGTGCAAATTTATTTGCATTGCAACCAAACACAACCTAAGGAATTTTGCGAAACTTAAGAACTTTCCCTTGACTTTCTGTTTTTCTCTTTATGTTCTATCAAACCAAAAATAGCAGCAGTTCTTTTTCTTTCTTTTTTTTGTAGAACATAGCATGAGTTTTACCCCCAATGTATTTATTTTCTGAAATTTTATAGTTTTCTAGTGGTTGGTTTGAGGTTGTAGTACATCCAGATTGGGCTGCTGTTCATTGCAAATTTGCAATCACCTGGAAAGATTATAGGATGGGGGAGATAAGCTAAAACAAACCCTATCCACCTTTATATCTTTCTCTCTCTCTCTGGATCAGTATGAACTGCAATTCAATTTTTACTTTTTTTTTCTGATGTAACTATTAAATGGTTTTAGCAAGGCCTATGTAGTTCTATCAATCAATCAATAAGGCTTTGAAACCAACTCTAACAGTCGTACAAGATCTATGCATATGCTCCCCTGATATCTTTTTTATTTTCTGATAAACTGTTAATGTCAACGAAGTTGGTTTCAAGTTCATTCATTTTTATTGCGCTATGCAGAGGAGCTGGTGACTGGTCTCTCGCGTGTCTCATGGGAAAAGGTAGATGTTAGCTTTCACAGTAGCAGACAGAGGTTTGCTGCACATAGTGTCATTCAGGTCTCTTTCTTATTCTCTCTCTTACTCAAAATTGCTGCACTGTCGTTTGAGGTGCATATATGAAGTCTGAAGTCTTTGGTTTAGTTGGTCTGGATGATTTGTTTTACAGTAGAATATTAATTCATCTTACCGCGAGTCATGTGATGGAGCAAATAGTTTATTCCGATAAAATGTTTTTGCAGGTGAAAGATCACTTCATGCATTCGGAGGGTGTAGATGTCATACTACACATAATTGATCACTTCCTCACTTAGATATGCAGGAATTGCCAAGAAATTACTCTGTCTTAAAATGGAAGAAAATCATGTCTTCAGTTTGGATGGTTTGCCAGGTAAACCATGATGGGCTCTTGGCTCCAGGGCCCAAGTTTGAAGATGGTTGTTGTATATAGGCCCTTTCTCCAATTGAAGACCATTGCAATCATCGACTTAATGGCGCTCTAAGTGGGGGAAGCAAAAGAAAATAGATGAGAAAGATTTTACTCATTCATTATGTAACACATGTATTATCAAAGTATACATATTTATCGATAAATGTGAATTGCATTTAACCTTTTACATTCATAATTGCCTTTTTACCCATAGCTGGCCAAAGGGTCCTCGAAACAGTAATTCCATTTGGAGCCTGGATCTGGATCTGCTAACCACAAAACGTGTACACATCTATAACCGCACAATGGGAACTTCTCTTTTACCATGGAGATGTTCCTAAGGTGCGGTTGTGGTTTTACGTGCATATAGATATGTGACCATCATTTCTTTTGGTCAGCAGATTCGTGCTTGTTCTATTTGTAGGGCTGTCAACGGGTTGGGTTTAGATAGAATTGAAGCCGATCTAAGGACTCGAAACTGAATTGGACCTGATAAGCTCTGTAATTTTAGACCTAGAATCGAATTAATCGGTTTTCAGACAATAGGGTCTGATTCGATGGATCCAATTATAATGAATTAAGATTATTATATATAATATTAATTTATTTGATATATTAAATCGGTTAGGTCCGAATTGATTTGAGACTGTGTGGAACCGGTTCCAAATCGCTAAGAATTAGAACAATATATCAGAAACCAGAACCAAACCAATTGGTTTGGATCCGTTGGGTCAACCCGACCCATTGACAGTCATATAGCTGTGCTGAAATTATTGTGGTTGTGATATTTTGGACCATTGTGATTTTCTAATGTATTTGAGCTAGCTTGAGTGGGTGAGAGTTATTGTTTTGTTTTTTTATATTCTTTTTTTTTTTTTTGGGTTGGGGGTAAGTCCGTCATCCGCTGTATCAAGGCGGCCTCCCCTCTATCTAAAGTTTGGGGGTTAATAAGGAAAAAACACAAACCTTTAGGTGGTATTCAACCAATCCAGAGGGAGTGCTGTAAGTTTTTCTCCATTTCCCGGATGTTAAATGATGCTTGAACTTAGTTGTCACGCTTTAGCTTCTCCAATCCATCAGTAAGGAATCTTGCCCATCTGTTGTAGAAACACTTGGAATTTTCCCCTTCATCTGGTCAAGGGTGTGAGTAGAATCATGCATGCAGTTCTTAGAAAGTCTAATGATTTATTAGGCAGGATTTAAAAGCAGATATGAGGCGTTGGACTAATAGACTTCAAAAATGTATTTATTAGGCAGGATTTATAGCACTGCATAAGAATACCAGAAAAAGAAAGACAAAATGGCATACCTTACTGATGGATTAGAATTTCACTTTGTGTAGGACGACCCAGTTGTGAAGCTCATCTCTAGATTCCGATGGTGCAGATTCTTCCCCCCCCCCCCCCCCCCTTTTTTTTGTTTGTTTGTTGGGGGTAGCAGTAAGGTTGCAAAGGGATGTAAGATCAACTTGGATAGAGCTAGATACAAAGTTGATCCATTTGAAACAAATGTTATCCATTGAATTCAGATTGGACTCAGTTGAATTTAGATATTGAGTAATAACAATGATCTAGTATATTTATTATTTATTATTAATAAAAGGTGAGAATAACTTTGACATCGTATATCATGAATGAAGTTTCATTTAAATGGCTTAAGAACAACTTTATGAGACTTGAACCTATACTTTTCAATGATGTCAGTCCAATGCCAGCCTTTAAAAAGTCACTTGTATGATGGGATTTGAAAGGGCTTTCTAATCACTGTACATGTATAGAGAAGCCCCCTGAATTCAAAACACGCATTCTCTATACAATTCACGTGTAAGATATGGCCCCGAACTATATGCAAGTGGATTATGTGCGTAGAAATGGCCAATTTTTAGTGTCTCCAACTAATTCCCTGATGTAAGTCCAGATTGACAAGGGCCATCTGTGAGACGACGATCCCCCGATTCCTGTATCTGTTGTTGAATTTTGGCCTCTCAAGTATGGCACGATATACTTCTTCATATTAGCATTAGAGATTTGTAGATGTTGTCCTGGCACACTAATATATTTAACCCTACCAGCATCATCCAAGGTTTTCAGGCCAATCCAATCTTCAATGTAGAGTTTTGTCTGCAAACATCGACATATGGCGTCAAATTACATAATGTTACTGAAATGATGGAAGAAAAAAGGATGATTGAGTAATTTAATGACTTCATGTTACATAATGCCATTGGAATGAAAAATGACCAAAAAAAAAAAAAAAAGAAAAAAGAACAATGGTCTCAAGTTGTTGCTTCTACTCATGCAACAATGAAATATTTGACAAACCTTCATGGTTACCTGATGCAATACTTGTATTTCAGATGTTTTTGAATTGGATCTGACGAACCAGGCATCTAGTATGGCACAAGGTCCAGGGACCTCATTTATCAAACTAAATACTCTTTTCTGTTGGGTAGAAAACATTTTTGTACCCGTAAGAGATGAGAATCTTGACAACATAATGGGCCACTACCAAGTGATGGTCCCAGCTACCCGGGTCTAGGGAGGGGTGGACTGGATATGGACTTAAAAGATTGCCTTTTTTTGGTACAAAGTAGCTATTCTTAGACTCAAACACATGCTCTCACACTTGTCAACCTTAGATTTTACCAGTGTGACAAGCAATGACCTCTAGAATGACAATATCTTTAACTCCTAGTGACAGACAAGTTCCTGAAGGATCTCTAAATTTATTACACTTTTGGGCCAGGTCTAGTTTGAGACTAGGAACTCCACCTTCTCCAAATGACAGGGGGATAACCAGATATATCATTTAAAAGCCAAGTGTTTCTTAATGAGGAACAGCATAATGGTCCTGGACAGTCTACAGTGTGTACAACTTATGTGCTTCGACAATTGAATGGGTGGAATATCTATGATTTTTTTATGCAAAATGAGGAACCACAAAAAATGTCAGGGATATATCAGCTGTCCCCTTAGTCTAGCTTTCCTGGCTAGGACATGCGCTAAAGCTGTATTAAATCTGCTTACATAAACTAAAGTTATGCAGCTTATGCTATCAAAAAAAGTCAAAAGGATCTTGATGTGTTCTGTGAGGTGCTGTTCATTCCATGTGGATGCTCCTAACTGCCTGATGGGTTGACTAATGATTCCATAAATAGTCCCTGCAAAATGCTCCATGTGAAACTTCACTGATTGGATAGGAACCAACCACCCATCAGCACAATTTTAGTTGGAGGAAGTCAGTGGGATGATCCAGAGAAAAGAAAATGCATTTTCAAATAACCTCCACTTCTAATGCATTGAAAGAACACAAGATAACTTATGCTTTCACCAAGCAAATTGAAATATCCCTTCTATGTGCATGAACTGAATCTTAACTAAAATTAATTATGTGGCTACTGGAAAAGCAAATTCCCCCCTCTCCTGTTACAGATGCTCTCCAAATTTAAACTTAGATCCAGGATGCAAGTTACCTGCTGTGGAGGTAAAATTGGAATAAACCCTCCATCTGGATAATATCCAAACCAGGACGTCTCACGAGGTATCAAAATTGTATCATGCTCAAACTGATAATAAAACACAGATGAGAAGAAAAAGATCAGCAAGCTAAGATATCCAATTTAATAACTGCAGCATATGAAGATCAATTGAAAAAATACACTATTTCAAATGGGCTATGGCAACTGCATAAATAATATAAAGTTTTGAACTTACCATAATAAGTACCAAATTTTCTAAGCTACAGAACCGCTCCTTGTAAGTGGAGTTCCTCGCAGTAGGAAGTTCATTGTTTAGCTTAGGGAGAAACTTGCATCCTTCTAAGTAGGCAGGAATTTCCTATAAAAGAAGTAATTTTTGCCAGTCATAGCACTTAAAAAATATAATGGTAATTAACATGTTATACTTAAAAGTCACTTGAGGGCAACAATGAGATTATATTATGTAGTCAGAGTGAGAATCTTTTGCATTGGCTGAGAAGTTTATGCATGATGCCATGACAAATAAATAGTTTATGCCATGATTTTGGAAAATAATCCATTGAAATATCCAGAATGAGACATTTTGCAGATGTATTATGTTTATATAATGAAGATGGAACATAATACAAAGATACATGAAAACAAAGTATAACAGTTTATAGGGTGTGGACTGCTTCTGCTTTGGGAATGTTTTATGTGTGCTTCCTTCTATGATTCACTTATTTCTAACCTGTCTGTTACCCATGATTTTCCTGCAGGTGCAATCTGGAGAGGCCCTATTTCTCTGGAGAAAAAAGCGTTCTGTTGGGAATGGTACATGAGAAAATTAACACATGTAATTGTCATTCAAAGAAAAAGGGCAACCTGGTGCTTATGTCCTAACATGTGTTTTCTTTTCAGGAATAGTTTTTTTCTGCTATTTGGCTTTATTTCTTCTTCTTTTGGCTATAGGGTGAGCCTTCAATCAGTTCTGGAGAGTATTTTTATGCCCTCTCTTGTCTCCAGATCGAAAGAGTAATTTTATGGAGATGTACAAGGGCGGCTATCCTATGGATGGCTTGGGAGGATATAAATAGGAGGATCTTTCTTGACAAATCTCAATCCTTGGAAGCACTGGTTGAAACTACTTTGGTAAGTAGTAAATTGGGCTATTTGATGGCTGCAGCATTAGGAATCCAGGATCCTCAAGAATTGAAGGGGTATTTAGACAGGTAAATGGATGACGGATCAGTAATGGTTTTGTTCTTGGGACCTATTGGTTTTGGTGACACAACGAGGGCAGTATTAGCAGTTTTGCATGACCTGAAACTAGGGAAAGAACTAAGCTACAGTGTAATTATGGAAGGAGACTCGGAATGCACAAGCAACATGGAAGTACAGATATGTCTTAAGGGGAATCAAATCACTAACAGAGGAATTGATTGTTACTGTCCAGTGGGTTCCTAGATCTGCTAACAGTATGGCTGATGGCTTACCAAGTCAAGGGGTAAATCGAACTGAATTGAGACTTGATGTAAGAGATTTGGGGTGGATTTTATGTAATATTCTACTTTTGTCCTTCGTAAATTTGTATATTCTGTTTTTATATTAATAAAATTTGATTGTTTCCAATAAAAAAAGTATAACAGTTTATAGTGCGGGCTGATGAATTAATTATTTACATCCATAACCAATGGGGGCGAAGTTGACATCTAATCCTGCCGACTTACGACTATAAACCCTATCACAAAAATCTATTAACTAGAGACCAAAATGTTAAAACAAATTGCCATGTATAACAATTTATGCATTGAGTGCCACAAATTATAAAACCTGCCACAAAAAAAAAAAAGAGATCAAAATGTCAAAACGAATGCCATGCGGTAGACCAACTTGACTACATATCTTAGTTTATTAAAGTGTTGTACTCAACTCAACTCAACTCAACTCAACTAAGCCTTGTCCAAACCATACTAAAGTGTTCTACTCACCGTTGGAATTTTAAGATAACCACTGGGAGCCAAATGAGCCTGTGAATCCATCAAACTAAAGTTAGGCAGGTCCATTAATTTTAAGGCTCGTCACAGTAAACCAAATGAGAAAAAAAACTTAGACAGCGATATAATATGTAACAATAGTGCGAGTCATATCAAGGTGATAGAGATATAGACCTGGACATAGTCAGAATAAATCTCTAATCTGATTAGGCTGTCCACGAGAACACATATGACACCAGTCTGCAAATTAGGAAATCCCTTTAACAGACAAGCTAGAATTGGAAGTTAATTCTACTTGCATTTTATTTAATTTGTCAAGGCTATCAATTGCAAATTAAATAAATTGTCAGGAAATCCCTATCATTGAAATGATTTTAGAAAGATACACCATGAATATATGGCTTGTTGGCAATACACATGGGAAATTTAAGGTACTTCTCAATAGAATACAAGTATGTATTATAACATAGCATTAAAAATACCATGATAGATAACTTGGTAACATGTAGGGGTGGAAACTAACAAATGTGGGTGCACTTAGTATCTCATATCAAAACCATATTAAAATATGAACAAAGAAAATAAGCTACCTTTTCCTGTTGCATTTCTTTTTTTTTTTTGGGTAATTCAGGAAGAGGTTGGGCTGCCAAGAAAAAATCTAGACAGAAATGATGGTTAAGATTTTTCTTTCATGAAAGATAATGAGAATAATTTATTAAATAGGAAATGTAAAACTGATAATAAGATAGGACAATAATAAAGCCCTTAGAAATGCTATGACTGACCTAAAAAGGCTACACACACCCATACCTAATATATTTATTGAGTGAAGAAGAAAAGGAGAGGTACAGAATGCAACCTCCCTTTAAAATAATGGATTTTCAAAGCTTAAGCAATTACAATGTAGCCGAAAATAACTATTCCTGATTAACCCCTTGTGTAGAAAAATAGTCTGCCATTACATTTTCCGATCTGCTCACCATTGAAATATAACTGTGGCATCCCTTGTCACCAAGTAACTTTTTTTTAGAAGATCCCTATAACACCAAGTAATAGAATCTGGAGCCATCCCACAACCACCTTAGTATCTCCAACTAGTAGATTCTCCATCCCAAGTTGGTCAACAATCTGGATTCCTTGTATGGCAGCTAGTAATAATGCCCTGTTTGAATCAGTGTTTTAAAATGTGTGGGAGGAGTACGCCTGGAAGCGTGCTTCCAGGTGAGGTGCCCCAAGCACCCTGAGGCGTATGCTAGAGGCACTAACACCTATGAGGTGTACGACAATGTTTTAAAAGGCGTGGGAGGCATACGCTTGGAGGAATGCCTCCAGGCAAGGCACTCCTAAAATGCCTTGAGGTGTATTCTAGAGGCGCTGACACCTTTGAGGCGTACGCCTCAGGTGCAAGAGGTGTACGCCTCATGCACTTTTTCCATGAGGCATGCTAGAGGCGCACGGCTCATGCACTTTTTCCATGAGGCATGCTAGAGGCGCATGCCTCGTGCACATCTTATATAAAAAGACAAAAAAAGAAAAAAGAAAAAAAGGAAAGGAAGGGAAAGGAAAAGAAAGGGAAGGGAAAGAAAAAGAAAGAGAAGAAAAAAAAAAAGAAAAGGAAGGGGAAGGGAAGAAATGATAATGGGAAAGAAAGTGGTTTGCCCCCTGCCCCTTTGGCTATGCTTTGAAAAGACCCCCCTTTCAACTAATGTTATGCATCTTTATTCTTCTTAATATAAAAGATTTTTATTAAAAATAAAGAAAAAATGAGATCCCTCCTTCCTCTTCATCCTCCTAACCCCCCTCCTCTTAAGGAGGCTTACGCCTCTTGCGTTCTGAACTATGCCTCATGCCTCTAGGTAGTGGAACGCCTTGTTTCACGCCTCCATGTTTTAAAACATTGGTGTACGCCTCAGGTGCAAGAGGCCTCCGCCTCATATGCTTTTTTCATGAGGCATGCTAGAGGTGTATGCCTCATGCAAACTTCATATAAAAAAACAAAAGAAAGGAAAAAAGAAAAAAAAAAGAAAAAAAGGAATGGAAAAGAAATAAAAAGAAAGAAAAAGAAAGGGAAGGGATCCTCCTTTTTTTGAATACAAGTTATCTTTCTCTTTAAAAAATATAAAAGATTTTTATTAAAAATAAAGAAAAATGAGATCCTCCTTCCTCCTCATCCCCCTCCTCTTAAGGAGGCTTATGCCTCCTTGTGTTTGGGAGGCTTACACCTCTTACATTCTGAACTACGGTCTCACGCCTCTAGGTAGTGGAATGCCTCACGTCACGCCTCTGCCTTTTAAAACATTGATTTGAATCTCCTATTCCCACTGGACCTCAAAAGAAAGAAATGATGTTTCTGCCCTCTATGGGTAATCCAGGACCTATAGAGTTCAAATTTCACCATTTGTGGAAATGTGATTCCCATCTCAACTGAATTTTGGAAGGCCTATGAGCAGTAACTGGATTGGATGGTCCTGAAAGATTTATTTCTCTGGAATGTTAACTAGTAATATTATTAGTAGAAGATGTTAGCTAACGGTACCAACTGCTAATTAATATTTACATATTCAGGTATCAAAACCAAGCTGTCATTGAGAAATCCTTATTTGAGTCTAGCATGTGAGTCCATGAATGTACCTCTTATGATAGCATATATAAAGTGGGAGCAAAGTGGTCAGATATGGAATTTTTTGAACTTTATATGTAATCATGTATTTTTGTAGGGGTATTTTGGTCGTTTTACATGTAGTTGATTATGTACTGTGTGTGTTTGGCCCTGGGGGGTCCAGCCTAAGAGTTTGATTTTTCTGGTCATAGTTTAGCTATGCTTAACACTTCTTAGGCCCTGTTTGGTTCATGGGAATAGGGGTCTGGAATTGGAATCGGAATGGGCTATTCCAATTCCAACTGTTTGGTTGGATGGAATCGGAATCCCATTCCCATTCCTGCTGGAATGGAATTCCCCCATTTAAGGGAATGACCATTCCCTGCCCCTCCCTTGGGAATAAAATCCCATTCCTGCTGATTTCAATTTCCATTCCCATTCCTGTCTGAACCAAACAGACTATGGGAATGGACCATTCCGGTTCCGATTCCGGAGGATTTCGGTTCCAATTCCGGTTTTGATTCTGACTGCGAACCAAATGGACCCTTAGTTTATGAGTTATATTTTATGATAGTGATGATTTACACACACATACTAAGAGTGGTGAGTGATTCTCACACTCAAGAGTGATTCTAGGCATCCCATTGAGTGGCTCCGGGCTTTCTCCTTTCTCTTTCTATCTTCTCTCTAATTTCTACAAGCATTTATTAGATGTCAATGGTTTGGGTTAAACAGTAAACCCAACTTGACCCAATGGTCCCAACCCTATAGGGTCAAGTTAGGGTTTTGATCTTCAATCCAAGTCAGATTCTGGTTTTGCTGTCCTGGCCTTACAGGTCATGACTTCTAACCCCATAACCTTGAAGTTTTGGATTTATTTTCATGTGTGTTCTTTCACCATGGAGGAAGTGACACCTTGGAATCCATAAGCCAAATTCCAACTTAAATTAAGTGTTCTTGGGTTTTCAAAACGTGTTATAAAAAATACAATTGACAGATTGTGTGTCAGGTCATATTCGGAAAATGCATACTATTAAATCGGGTTGGGTGGGATGATTGGAGGGTTTGGTTAGGATGGAGGCAAACCTGTATCAAACCCAACCTGTTGATATCCCTATTCATCCTAAAACTTCATTTAGAAACCTAGTTTTCAAAATTTTCTTTTTTTTTTCAAAAAATATTTTATGTCCTTTTGTGAAAGGATAAATCTGAACCCTACCAAACTTGGTCTCCCCCTTCAAAATTTACCTACAAAATTTAATTTGAAAATTCCAATCCTAGATCATGGAACAAACCTGCAATTTAGTAGTGAAGCTCAGAGGCCCTTCCTAGCATGACCAATCCCTACTTCTAGTCCTAAAATTGCCCATAAAACTTATTAACTAATACCTTCCTTACCTCACCCTTGGGTCATATCCATCCATCCCTACATCATTTGGTATCAGAACAAGCAGTCTAACATCAATATGGCTATCTGTCTATCTCAATTAGCTAGCTTTTCCTTTGGATCCAAAATCATACAAATCCAAATGGTACTTAATAGTGAAACTGTCATCTCATTCTGGGAACAATTAAATGCTACTTTACCTGTTTACTATCAGACATTTTAATCTCAAGGCATTAGCCTATTGATAATTGTTACTTCATAGGTAACTTTCTATTCCTCCACCAAATGCCATAAAAAAATACAGATTGAATTAAGATTCTTAAAATTTTCTTCTACACTTATTCCAACTAAAAATTCTTATCTTTTTTCATGTCCACAATAATTTATTAGAGTGCATTGCATGTATGATGAAAACAACTGAAAACTCCTTAAGAGCACTTACACCACAAAGTGGAACAGAAGCAGTGCCAGCATGAGGACCTCCCAGTGAGATGAAATTTTTAATCTGTTTCAAAGACAGAAACCAAATCATTGTATTTATTTTAAACCACAAATGTGAAACATAAATGAGAAAACTTATTGAGGATGACTAATAATAGAATTGCCTTAAAAGAAATGCTACAGATACACATGAGGCAAGATATGTTGTATGAATATGTGTGGGTAAGATGGAAAATCAAAATATTATGTGGAAAATTCTTGGAATATACATGAAAATGATATTGATATGCAAAGAAGGTGCCAGATAGCTAGGGGTGCCCACGATTTGGTTAACCAAACCATGGGCAATTTTCTGAAACTGAACCGGTCCTACCGGTTTTTGTATTTCTCTGAACCAAAACCGAACCAGTACCACCGGTTGACCGGTTCAGTTCTTTGGTTTTTTGGTTTTTTATATTTATAATATAAATTATAAATAAATATGTAACATATTATAAATATAATATATGTATATACAATGCATATATATATTTATATAGAATTTATTGATAATATATGACATAAAGTGTGAGGAGAGTTCAACACTAGAACTGGAATTGAACCCTGCCTTGATTTGAACTGACCATTTAACTTTTCTATGTAAAACTTATTGTGTAAGAAATAAACCTCATCCAATCATCTAATATAAACAACTTCAATGCTGGCCAACAATATTCCTAGATAAAGAATTTTTTTTTTTTTTTGTATATCCGTATCTTGTTCATCAACTGACCATCTCTCTGCAGTTTTTCTGATTGCCCAAGGTACTTGCAACCCATTATAACAAAGAAAACCCCAATTTAACATCTCCAGATTGATACTTAAATGGTGGTGACTGAGCAAGCAGATGGAAATTTTCTTAGCTTTTTTTTTATAATAAATTAAGAAAAGAAAAAGTAGAACGAAATCAAGGGTGATGAGCTAGCACCCCACAAAACACAAGAATATTCAGAAATTAAAGAAGTACATTACATGGCCTTGCATATATCCCAACAGCTATTACCAAAACCTGATTTGTTAATCTCAGAAAATTCTGGCAAAAGCAGTACCAAATCCACAATTATGCATAATTTTCAAGGTGCCAAGGCAAGGCTAGGAGACAAGGGGGGACTTTGTTACCTGGTGCCTACCTAGGAATTTTTTTTTTATAATAAAACCCCTAAATCCTAGGGTAATTTTCTTGGTTCCATGGAAATCAGCAATCATATTTTACTAGTAGTTTCTTTTTTTTTTTGAGAAAGACAAAGTATATTGTATTAGCTGAAAAAATATACATGTATGGTCCTCTGTACAAGTAGTTTCTATACAAAAACTTTCCTTTAAGGACCCCCAAAAAAACCTATATTCAAAAAAGAGGAAGAGAAGTCATAGAACTGAAACATGTAAGAATAGGCAACCAAGCTCTCAACATGTCAACTGCACAATTGATAACCACCTCCTCCGGATTAGATTTCTGCTAAAAAAATTCTACTATATTTTACTAGTAGTTATAATAATCTTCATTAGAAGAAAAGAATAATTAAAATAAAATTCTGAAAATATAGGGGCTGAACCCCTGTTATTGTCCTAGGAAGAGAAGAACAGAAACGGTGGAAGAAGAATGTGTTGATTGGATAAAAACTGAAGTTCTTCCTTGCTTATAGGTTCAGGTTTTGAAGTCTTCAACGATTCAAGACAGCATATACCAATATCTGCACTGATTGAACCATAACAAAATAAGATAATAATAAAAGAAACTAGTATATAAACCCCCCAAAAATGAATAATTTAGTTAAATAATGTCTAGCTCCTGCCTTTTGGACTATCTGGATGGAGAGGATCTGCAGAGTTTTTTTTTTTTTTTTTTATGGCAAATCCTCTCAAATGGATTAAATGATTTGAAACATGAAAGCAATTTTCTTTTCTTCGGCTCATGCTCCTAACCTCTCAACTGAAGCTCTTTTTTTTGTAATTATCACAATATCTGAAATACTGTGTATTCTCTCTGTTTGTACAGCTACTTATTGTACCTAGTGTACTGGGGGATTACCCTTGAATCATTAATACAAATATACTTTACATTTTCCAAAAGAAAGTATATTTTTATTATAATATTAGAAATAAAAAATAAAAATACTATATAGAGCCTCGTACAAGAAAAACTGGGCACTCAGGCGAGGTGAATCTCCATGAGCATGTTGTTGCCTAGGCAATTGCCTTGACAACTATGCAATCATGTTTTATTAGCTCTTCAACTTAGGGCTGCAGATGAATCAGTTATCAATCTGATATTCTGATTCAAATTTGAATCCGATCTGCTTATGCTGCATTCAGATATCTGTTAGCAATTAAATGAATTGAATCAGATTGGTATTTGTGGTCGATTAACTTGTTGGATCAAATTTGGATATTACCTTATTTGATCCACTAAAATCTGATTCTATTTGATAACATGCATAATATATAATATATATTGTTTTATAGATAATTATTAATAATAAATGTAATTCATATTTAATATTTAATATTATTTTTGTAAAACCCTTGATATACAAAACCATTAAACAAGCATGCATTATATTATTTTTGTAGTCTTTTCTCTTTGACTTGTAGCTGGTGAAGCCTCTCTCTAAATTCTCAATGAAAATTTCACCACTTTTCAAAAAAAAAAAAAAAACATTAAAATGGCTGACCAGGACCTTGAATGGATCAATAGCATTCTCTCCTTTATTGTTTTTTGTGCTTTCCCCTGCATATAGCCCTAAACCTACCTAAAACAAATGCTAATCACCATTGCTGCCACCAGCTACCTCACTGAAGTGAACATCTTATTGTCATCACCGGGCTTTCCACTCACTGCTGTTGGTCACTGGTCCCTTAAGGTTCAATTGAAAATCAGTTCAGGGGAAGTCTATTCCTTAGTCATAGAAGAGGTCTCAGTCACCAGAAAAGTGATGGTAATCTGGATGAGAAGTCTCTAGTGAGGTCAATTGAAAATCAGAGACAAAGAAGCTTTTGTGCAGACTGCAGTGAGGTCAGAGAAAACGCTTCCTCTTGAGCTTAAGACATGAAGCTGTTCAGTTTGGTTAAGGGTTCGAAGCTGCTATGGAGATCTAGTCCTTCAAGAACAAGATGAGAAATGTGATTCTGGAACATGAAACACCATACCAGATGCAGGGGTTAGTAGTTTGGTTCCAGCTACTAGGCCTTCTCTCTGAATTTGTCTCTTCCAGTCTGTCACAGTTTAATCTTTTCAAGTCATTTTCAGTTCTTAGGTACACCTCTTGAATCTCTTCATATGAATCGGATAGAATTTGAATTGAATATCTGATTATATAAATGAATTGAATGCGAGTAGGGGTTGCCATATATCCGTTGGATTCGGATTGATTTGGATAGCTTGGTTTTCTTATCGAATCAAATTTGAATATACCCCTATCCAAATTCGATTTTATTCATTTACATCCCTACTTCAACTATAGATCACAATTTAAGAAATTCTTGATCCTTGGGTTACAGGTTTGCAGGGTCAACCTGATCAAGTAATTGTGGCATCCATGCACCATTGCACACCTGAAACCTAACTTAGTAACTTTGGTTAACAGTCATCCATTGATTAAAAGAAAAAAAATGTCCTATTTTAACATAAAACACCTTTTACTGTTCCAATCTATTGGAAATGAATTTTCTTTTCACAGTTGGTAAAAATTCAAGTTACTAAACTCAAACTTTATCTGTTTTAAAAACATCAATGCCATTGTTGAAAGCCATTTCCAATGAAGAAAATCATGATAGCTTGAATCTCATACTTTTAATAATTTATGTAATCCACTTGCTCATGTTTCAACCTTTTTCAATATAGTATTTATACTAGGATGAAACCATTTACAGATTACCAAGCCATCATATTGGTGCACATAACTCAGCATTGGAAAAATTCTGCCATGCATAGACTTTTTTTCAGTCTCAAGATGCAAACAGGAAGAATGCCCCCAAAATTTGTGGAATAATTAATAAACAAGATAAAAGAATATATCAGAATAGTACTTACAGGTGGTCCTCCTTCACAAAACTCAAGAACTCCTCGACCTATTAAGTTACCCTGTGGAAATCAAGAAATTGTTGGGATGTTAGATATCTTTGAAATACCTTAGAATTTGAATCAAGTATTAGAGAGAGGGAGAGAGGGAGAGGATATAGCTGTGGAGTATGCAGAATGACCTAATATTTAGTATATAAATTCTAGATCTTTCACTGTTATATTTAATTAAATTGTCAAGGTTTTCTTTCCAATGGGGTGTGTATGTGTGTAGATCGATAGCAGATTGAAGAGACTATTTACGAAAAAGCAAAGATAATAGATACAAAAATGCAAATTTAGTTGAAGGCTGGAATTCGGAAAATTACAGAAAGATGTACTGAAGCTAAAAATAGGCTGAAAGCACAATAAGAAAAGAGGAAACTACAACTTAATGCACAATGGTATATGGTACATTAAGTTAAAAAGAAAATGACAACATTACAAAGGTCATGCAGAAAAAATAGAAGCTCTGTAGTACCTGGGAGAGTCCAACAATGTTGTAGCCCTGACTGAGTTCTTTCATTTCCTTCACCTATAAATCAATTTAGTGAAATTGTTAGGAGAATATGATAAACCTCAAATTCTAGAACTAGAAAAGTAAACACATTACCCAAATGGCTTTACGACCTTATCACAGACAATCTTTATCTGCATACACGTAAGATATTTAAGTTACAACTCACAATTAGATGATACTAAAAATTACATATGATAAACTGGGAAACTTGTTATAAGCATGGATGTCTAACTTGTTCCTGAAGGGGCATGATCCAAGAATCCCATGCTCCATCTCCAACTTCTCTACAGGGAGGAAAGAGAAGTCAGACTGCCACTCTTGCATATTCAAAATGCTCATCCACACAAAGAAATGGACAAATAAGAGAAAGATCATCACAAAGCAGGGTTTTGTCTTTTATGATCATTCGGTAGCATATTACAGCAGAACATAACCAAATTAGATTTCCCAATAAAAGAAGAGATAATTTACTGAACCTTTTCCCTTCAACCTTTTTTCTTGATCAGTACAGAGTCAGTTGTAAGTGCTTGATGGTTGTACTCTTATCTTTTTCAGTAATGAAAGTTACCATTTCCAATAAAAAAAAAAGATTTTAACAACATTGTACAGAACCAGTCTTCAATCTTTCTTAATTATTATGAAAGGATGCTTGGGAGTTTGGTCTCTTAGACAACCTGTAAGAGAGATTATTATCTTAGCAAGGGAGATTGGGATGCATTTTAAATGGGTAAGGTCAGCAAATGGAATGGCTGACACTTTAGCTAAGCAAGGAGTTACTAGGGAGGCTTTGTTTGTAAGTTTTTTTTTTTTTTTTTTTTCCATCCATTTTGTGGGTGGTAAGTCTGTAATCCATTTTTCTTCCATCCTTTTTTGTCCCAATTGCGATGTTCAATACAAGTTCTCTCCTTTGGGGGATCAAACCTCAATAGAATTGACTACTCCCTGCCCCTTGTCTTGCCAAAGCATCAGCTACACCATTAAGCTATGACAACATTTGTGTAACCTTTTTACTTTAATCCTTTCATTCCTGTACTGATTTTGGGTGTCTAGAAAAGAGCATCTGTTCTTCCCTAGCCCCAACAAATTGCAGATTCCAGATCTTTATGTGCCTTGGGCACTGCACATTATTTCATGGCAGAGGAACTTGAATACCTAGTCACATAATTTACATCTATAAGAGCTTATCCATTTTAAATTTCTCTAGTTTTATCACAATATGGATTAGCTGTGTGAACTATGTAGATGATGTCTTTATTTAAAATTTGATCTATAACATACTAATGGCATAACTTAACTCATCCATCTTCATAGAGATTAATCTTTACTGATGAGTCCAGATACTAATATGTAAATGGAGAAAAAGGAAAAATTAAATACACTGTGCTTTCCCTTTGAGTGCACTGATAACTAACTTCCACGTTTATCGAAGCATAGCAACAGGCATCAGTGTTTTCATACAAGGTTATGTGACTACTTTGCTCATTTGACCAGAATGCATCAGTTTCACCTACGGCTGTCAATGAACTCCGAAAGTCCAAAACATGAACTGACATCCAGTCCAATTAATTTGGATTTGAATACTAAAATCTGCATCTGTTTAACAATCAGATAGGCTGTGGATTTGACACCTGATCTGATTAAAATTCATTATGTATATTGAAGAAGGTCTTCTTAAGTATTTATTCATTAAACAAAACAAAACCAAACCATACAAACACCTCATGTACACCAAGGGACTGTACAAGGGAATATACACCTTACATAACGGGATTTACGAAATAGTTCCTTTTATCCGAAAATATATCATATGATATCCTGTTTACCCTGCTATGCACACCCACCCAAGAAATTTTCTTGTGTTTAGTTTAGCTAGTGAACCCTCTTCTATCTCAAATTTGTTGTAAAAAAACCTTGAATCCCTTTCACTCCAAATAATCCAAAAACCTTCCAAAAAGAGCAATCATCAACAAAATTTTCCTTCTTTACTGAGATCCTGCATTTTCCAGCCCCTAATAAATTCTTCCACTGTTCCAGGGTTACAACCTACTCCCCCAAAGATATTTTTAACCCAGCTCCAAGCTATATTTGATATCTTGCAATGGATGAACAATTGGTTTGCACTCTTGGAAGCTTCATTGGACAAAGGGAGCAAACATCATTCAGCCCCACTCTCCTCCTAATCAGATTTTCCTTGGTTAGGCAGGAGTATAGAGCAGAAGATCAAAGCAGGAAGGAGACCGCCAACCCCCCGCCCCAAGCAATCTGGTTATGGAATGATTTGGCAGAAAATACACTAGATTTGTCCCACCTCCAGATTCTCCTATCACTCCCAGACAGATCCATGTCAGTTCTTCTCAGACTTTGAAGTCAACCATCAAGGGCAGCTGCCAGTCATTAAAATATATATAAATTTATTATATGTATAAAAGGTGATTACTTTTTTAAAGCAATGTTTTAAAATGCGGAGGCATGACGTGAGGCATTCCACTACCTAGAGGTGTGAGGCGTAGTTCAGAATGTAAGAGGCGTAAGCCTCCCAAACACAAGGAGGTGTAAGCCTACTTAAAAGGGGGATCTCATTTTTCTTTATTTATAATAAAAATCTTTTATATTAAGAAGAATGAAGATGCATATCACTAGTTAAAAGGGGGGGGGGGGGTTCGGGGGCTTACTCCCCAGCCCACTTTCTTTCCCCTTATCTTTTCTTTCTTTTTCTCTTTTTTTTTTTTCTTATCTTTCTTTCTTTTTCTTCCCCTTCCCTTCCCTTCCTTTCCTTTCCTTTTTTTTCTTTGTTTTTTTCTATCTTTTTACATGAGGTGTGCATGAGGCATACGCCTCTAGCACGCCTCATGAAAAAAGCATATGAGGCGTATGCCTCCAATGTGTCAGCGCCTCTGGCATATGCCTCGGCATTTTGGGGGTGCCTCACCTAGAGGATGCCTCCCATGCCTTTGGAAACACTGTTTTAAAGACTTCTTAATTCTATACTTTAAAGACACTAAATGGGATTTGGATTTAACGCGAATGTGATCAAAGCCCAGTATTTGGATTTCAGATTAGATTTGGATTTGAAGTTTCAATAATCAGATCGGATTCAGATTTGACTGGATCTGGTCTGGATCTGACCTGATTATAGCCCTAATTTTACCAAAAGCCTTGCCATATCTTCACCAGCTAACTTTGTCTCCCTAAATGCATTGTAAATTTGTTTGGGTTTAGAGGAAAATGCTTTATTCATGATGTTCATTTCTTTTTCTTTTCCCCAGATAATCAACATTCAAGTGAAAAAAACAAAATCAGTTATTGATTTTTTAGTATTTTTTGTCATATATCTATAATCATATTAGAGGCTAAGAAAAATGATACGATGAATTAACTGTAAACTGTTTGGACCTCTAAGAATATGACATAAAAAAGTTAATAACAAAATATTACCATTATAATCCAGTTTTGGAGTAATATTCACTTGACTGAGGTATTTGAAAGTATTCACATGATGGACATACTACACAAGCATCAAATTAAGTTCATAAAATTGTTTTGTAAAATGCCTTTTTCAAAGCATTGTTACTTTATCTATGTAAAGTTAACAGTTACTCCCTTTCTAAGACAAAGTAGTAGGAGCATAGCTGTAAGCCCTGATAAAAATCATTTACTTAAAAAAGTTCAGATCAGAAATACTTAAAAGGAATTATTAGTGAGCAATCATTCTCATAAACAGGGTAGAATACAAAACAACCATACATAAGTAAACATAAAATATAAGAGGCCATACATGCAAAATCCTTTAGAACCGGACCAGTTACTCAGATGCTTAGTGAATTTGGAGACTCCTCGATAAGAGCAGTTACCTGCAACACCTGCCATTAAGTTGTCTGTTAGAATAGAAGTGCAGCACTAACAAAGGTCCTACACAAAATTGTCATTTGAATTCATATTGTGTACAGAGTCCTTAAAATGTAGGAAGTTTGAAATATGGTTGGCAATAACCATGAGGATAGTGAAGAATGCAAACTGATAGTAGAGCAATCTAATAGTAAATTAAGAAGTAACAGAAGAAACTCCAAGATATGACTTAAGTGAAGAATCTTACAAAGCATATCTGTTGAAATGACATTTAACATGTTAATTTCTTTTTTCACCAATGCTTTACGCCTTTGTAATGTCAATTTACTTTAATCAATGAATACTTCGAGGAAACTCTTGTTTTTCTCTAACTCTTTTATTCCGTTTTAGACTTTGAAAAGAAAACAGAATTCCTATTTTTTGTTCCTAAACCAATAAGTTTATTGTATATAAGGCCTTCCTACTACACAGGCAGTTGAAAATTAACGTAGTCCAAAAGACAGGAAAGATGGTCGAAGAAAAAGCAAAGAAAAGCTGAAACTAAAGCTTGGGGAAAATCTCCTTATCACATTGCCATTTCTAACAATAAATCAACTAAGGTACCGGTAATATAGCACTAAAATTAAATTAAAGTTATAAAAGGGAAGAATTGGGGTGATAACAAGTAACCATTTTAGTGCTATAAAAGTACACATCTGTGCAATTTAATTACACTCTGAACTCAGCATGCGGGTCACCGATTTCCTTGACCATCAATCTAGAATTGTTCAAGCAAGCAACGTGGTGTACATACGAAAACGAGTTAGTGACTGACGACAGATCACGGCTAAGAACATACCACGGCTTGATTGCAGAGAAAAGTAGTCTATATCGCCGTAGATATTTATCAAATAGAATTTGCAATTTCTTCTTTATGCAACTGAATGTTGGAGCTTAAACTATATCAACTAAGAACAAGGTTCCGAATAGGTGTAATAATCACTTCCAATGGCCCAAGAAAGATGCGTAATTGGGCTTACAAGTTCATAGACTTGATAAAATAAACAAAGTTGAAATCAAGCAACTGAAATGGGAATGAGAGAGAGAGAGGGAGAGAGATTCTCACCGTGTAATACGATAAAGGGTATAGAATATGAAATCGGGATGAAGAGGAGGGTGAAGATGAAGCCGGAGATGATATGCAGTTGCAGAGAAGCCATTGATGTGGGATGAGTTGGGGTTTGGTTTGTTGGATCCACGATCTTGGAGGCATTTAGCCTTTTGATGGCTTTCTCCAGTAAACTCTACTGCTCGAACTTCGAAGGAGTTTCGTGGGATTTTCCTGAGACGCATACAGACAGGGTTTGGAAGCTAAGAACTACACTAATGCCTTATGATCCTATTAGACGTGCTCGTGCAATTTGTGAATTGTCTGTTAGAGTGACCGACTGACGGTTGGTTGGACCCGCCATTTTTCTCTGATAAATAACCTCGATCTATATCAATATTACGAAAGTACCCTTTATAATAGAAATCCGGAAAAATCGGGAAAATCTATGATGCGGGGAAGATATGGATCGGAATTGACCGATCAAAAGTTATGAGATATCCACGTCCACCACATTATTGGCTATCACGTTTACGTTTATAATTCCACTTGATTGGTCAGAAGTTTCTGGGATATCCACCACATAATAGCCAATTGATTACTGCTGAAAAGTCGAATTTGAATTGAGGTCAATGCCGTGGATCTTCGGCACGTACATGAACGAATGTAGATCCAACGGCATGGATTTTAGATCTAACGTAGCTTCAGGACAAATTGGCATTGCTCTTGTCCGAAATGCAACATGAAGGGACGAAATAACGGGTGGGGATCTTCCGCTAACAAAATAAGTTCCAACACCTACCAGCTTGATCTGATACCACACATCTCACCATAAAAGTGAGAGATGTGTGGTGTCAGATGATATTGATAGGGTATTAGTATGTGATCCGGACTCGTGGGTCTGTTTAAAGTCTAAACCATTGGATTCGAATCTTTCATCTCAGGGGTTAGAACAGACAGAGGCCCTATGAGCCAAAGTCGTAGGTCCTGTGTCTAGGGATCAGATCCACTGATCAGTTATTAAATTCTGATCCGGTGGTTAATGCAAGGACGAGGGCCTCTCTATCTATGGGATATGTAAGAAACAATCGGTAAGTCCGGATCTCCTCACAAAACATAATCTGTCTCCGCACATCGCAGGCATGGGAATTATAGTATCACGGTGAGATGTGTGGATGCAGATTAATTTGTGAACAGATCCCACCTCAAATCTATAAGGCTTACGGGCCCCACCCACCGTATGCATTCTCAGGCTTGGAAAAGGATTGTGTACAATATATATCTAAAAGGATTGGAGATGGGATTTCGTCCTCACAAAATTGGTTCCAACACTGTACTTGCAACACTTACATAGTCGGTTGGTTAGAGACCAGATCTGCTTTTTACAAGCACATCCTACTATGCATTGGGAACATCTTCTGTATTTATTAGTTATTATTCACGAGAGATGTACTTAATGCACGGTAGATGTGTCTGTGAGGCACTCATTTGTAAGGGGCAGATCCCGCTCTGGTTCACTTGTGTTCAACATACATGGATCTGCTTCTCACAGAATTCTAGCCACATTTATGTGCATATGACGGAATGGGATCTGCTCCTCACACTTGGGTGCCTCACATGCACATCCACCGTGCATTGAGAACATCTCTTGTGAAAAATAACTTACAAGTACACAATGCATGGTAAGACATGCGTGTGAGGCGCCCTATGTGAGGAGCAGATTTGGTCTCGCATATGACACCAATGGGATATCTCTGTACTTATATGTTTTCATTGAAGTATGTTTGTTGACAAAAGAGATGGAAAATAGAATATTCCCAAAATAATTCTTCCTTTCTGGTATTTGTTTGCAGGAGCATAGTGTTTTGAGATGAGAAAATTATGAGATGCGGGATCCCAAAAATGAGCAAATGGGATCACATTAAAACAATGTGACCCTAATGAGAAAAGGAAAATAATGACCCTCTTTGAGAAAATTTTTGGGCTTGTCAGAGCTGAGTCTTATTGTTTCATTCGTCTCATTGAAAGGTAACGCAAGATCCATAAGGCTGCCTTTTGATTGAGGTGTAAATGTGAATTGATGTAAAACTCAACTGTCCGTTTGCATTTACACCAGTTTGTTGTTGATGTAAAAGTGGACTGATGTAAAACTTTGCACTTGATCCATTTTTGCAATTATTTATTGTCGATGTAAAAGTTAAATTGAACATCAATGTAATTATATTTTTTGGCTGATTTTTACAACGATAATCAATGTAAATGATACATTGATATTACATTCATTCTCACTTAAAAATTCTCAATGGTCTAACAATTTTAAACTGATAGATTTTTCTATTGTATTCAAATGCAATTTAGATGAATAATTCACTTCAGATATTATTTTTTATTGTCAATTTCTTTTTTTCGATCCATTATTCCTTCTTCCCTATCTTCACAAATGAAATACTTTGGCATTGTGGAAACTTGACATGATTTTACCCCTCAACGGCTGGAATCAAACCCCATTCTTCCGAATGAAATATTTTGGCATTCCATGAAATCTTTCATTCTCGAAACTTGGCATGTTTCTCCCCATTGTCACAAAACTGGTTTTTCATCTTCGATACTCTCTCTTGGCATCGATGCCACCATTTTTCTTATCTCATATTTCTCCACCACCCTCGGTACCCAATGGGAAACGCCACTAACGACGACCCTGTCAAACTTTGACGAAAGGCCAACCCAAGCCCCCCAACTAGCACCTCTAAGGCTCTAAGTATGGGGATGAGCTAGTCCTAGTAACTCCATGAAAAAGCGTTGGGATGAATATATGGTAAGAAATAGCCTAGTAAATGGAAAATTAGTAAAAAATCAACTATGAATTATGAAATTATTGTTATTTTAAACCAATGTTTTAAAAAGCAATCCGGAATCGGAACTGTTCTGGCCACTGGTTTCTAGGTTGACAATTCAACCGTCCGGTCCAAATGGACAATCACATTCTAACAAAATAAATTAAAAAATAAAAAATAATTAAAATTTAAAAATGTTCAAAAACCGTTAAATGGATCAAACGAGTTGATGCTTCAACCACCCGGATCAATGGTTCATTGACCGATTCAACAGTTTTTGACCAGAGAATGGGTTTGGGGTAAAACAGAACCAATTGCCTAAACGGTTTCCGAGCCGAACGATTTGACCATCATTGGCGCGTTCGTCAATGATTAACCAGGCCGGTGGCCTCTACATCATCATTGGCGCCTTCGTCCTTAGAGTCTAGATCATCTGCTAACTGACGCACTATGTCATCAGTGATCCGCGAAGTAGAGATGGCGCCTGTATCAAGACCGGGGTAGATGTGTCTAATTAACCACCGACTGAGCTTGAAACCCTTGCGGTAGGCCTCGGTCATCATGTCGTCGAACCTCGAAGACTTAACATAGTCAATGACAGCCTGAACCTTGGTCTCCTTGAGGGCATCCTCGAAGATTTCGGTCTTCTCTTTAATGTCGCCTCGGAGGTACTCCACCTTGTGCTCCAACTTCTCTTTTGCTTCCTTGAGGCCCTGCACCTCGAGCTTCAGGGCATCCCAGTCTGCCTTGAGACTGTCCGCCTCGAGCCTCAAGGCCTCTTGGCTAACCTTGAACCCATTCACCTTGGCCCTCAATCTGTCCTTGTCTCGGGCCAGCTCACCCTTCTCCGCTAGTAGCACCTCGATGAAGCTCTTCTAAGCTGAGGCATCACTCTGCAAGCAGTGGATCTGACCGCGAGTTGCCCTCAGTTCAGTATGGGCTGCGCGAGATGACTTCTCAGCTTTCAAAGCCCGTCTCAAATGCCGATCAGATTGAAAGGTCAAGGCACGCACGACTGAGTTCACCTACAAAAAGGAGACCAGTCAAAAAAAAAAAGAAAGAGAAGAGAGAAAGAGAAAGGAGTCTTTCACAGGGCACTGAGCTGACCAGGAGTGAGTTCGGCCCATTCTGCGACCTCCTCTGGGTACGCAACCTCCTTACTCTTCTGAAGGCTGTAATGGGGGTTCNAAATGCCGATCAGATTGAAAGGTCAAGGCACGCACGACTGAGTTCACCTACAAAAAGGAGACCAGTCAAAAAAAAAAAAAAAGAAAAAGAGAGAGAAGAGAAGAGAAGAGAAAGAAAGAAAGAGAATCTTTCACAGGGAACTCACCACCATGGTATGAGAAGCAGCTCGGGCACTGAGCTGACCAGGAGTGAGTTCGGCCCATTCTGCGACCTCCTCTGGGTACGCAACCTCCTTACTCTTCTGAAGGCTGTAATGGGGGTTCAGAATGCTTTGACCCTCCTGACTCCCCGAACTGGAGATTGACATCTCTGCCGCATGGGTGGACTCCTCGGAAGCTTCAGCGGCGACACCCACAAGACAAACCCCGGCTGTAGCCTCTGCAGGGTGAGCCTCAGCGGCAGCTTCAGTGACGTCCCTGGCAACAGTCTCGACAGGCTCGATAGTGGGCTCCGCCGCCATCTCGGGCCCTTGAGGCACCATGTCTCCCTCCAAGTCGATGACAAGTTGAGCACCGGGGAGCTCGGGCTCCAGAGCCGGGGCCTGTGGAGACTGAACCTCGGCAGAGGCCTGCGGGGACTCGACGCGCGCCTTCTTGGCTACGCGCTTCTTCCTCTATGGCGGAAGAGCCTCTGACCGTCTATCTTTTCCGCCTCCATGGGACCTGCAACGAAGCTTGGCGTTAGTAACCCTGAAGCAAGTATGCGAACAAAAAAGCCGAAGTAAAGACAAGACCTACCCGGGCTCAAGTCGGCCTGGATGAGCTTCTCCTCAGCTGTGAAGTCCTTGTAATTCAACCCGAGCTAAGCCCACGACTGAAGTGACTTCTTAGTCTTCCCATCAAGGATGACACCGGGGTCTTGAACGGCCACCCTCCAGTTAGTGGGGAAGGGCCACCCCGTGCTGCTCCGAACTATGAAGTAGTCCCGCTTCCAGGCCGGGACTTTACTCGTGAGCTTATGCATTAATTTAAAACCCAGGCGGGGAGACAGGTAATAAGCCCGCCTGTGCCTGGGGAGAGCGCCCGAAGCGCTCTTCTTTATTGCCAAGATGGTACTGAGGATATCTAGGTCAATGGGGAAGGAGCGGTTGAAGCAGAAGGAAATGGTCCCAACCACATTCCGTATGGAATTCGGGTGAATTTGGTCCAAGGTAATGTTAAAGTGCACCAGCACCTCAACAATTAGAAGGTGAAGAGGAAGATGGAGTCCGGCGAGCAGTTGCTCCCTGAAGACCACGATCTCATCGGGACCGTGCTCCCATGGAAAGCTGTCG